GAGATGACAGCTCTTGGGGAAAGACGTGGATTAAGGGTTACGTGCAGTGTTAGGAGGTCAGAGAGGTGTAAATTCCATAATATCAACCATTCATATCGGAAGACACCACAAGCACAGATACAGAACAGCATGGATGAGGCAGGCTGTCTGGGGCTTGGTTTCGCTACACGATTCTTTTACACCCGGTGGCATTTGGAAGTCTTCATGTTCCCTATAACCGATACAACGTGTCGGCAAATTGATATCGAGATGCACGTACATACGGATATCAAAACAACAGGCCCACGAGTCAAGCCGCACTGATGACTGTTCTGGGATTCATTAGGTTCCCAAGATGGTTTTCTGCTTTCCCCGAAATAGAATTATTTTCATCAGAGCTGAATTCCCTACAGTTTGCTTATATCAGTCGTTACCATGTCAACAAAACCTTAGAGGCTATCTTTTACAGCTACCTGTTTCTTTGGAATATATTTCGTTAATTAGGCTGATTAGTTGGAAATTTCTCGGTTATCTCCTATTAAAGATGATGAAATTGAAGAGATTAATGAAAAAAGACTAAAGAATGAATATTTGAACTAAAGATGTGTCAACACTGATGAGAAATGAAATAAGGTGTGGTTATTACATTTCTCATCAGTGTCAACACGCCTCATTGAATACACATTGAAAGTCTTTAGTTCAACTAACTTATATATTTGTGCTGTCTTTCTTCTTTATTCTCTTCAATTTCTGTATGGGTTTTGATATCTTTCAAAGTAGAAAAGAGAACGAGAAGAGAAGAGTACATGATGATGAAATAGAAAAATCATGGAAGAGGTTTATTAAGATATTTTGTTAAGAAGGTCTACATTTTTCTCCCAGAAATAGAAATGGTTACCATAGTAACCATGAAGTATTTATCTTTCATATCTATGCTCAATTTGTCTGTGATATAAAGCATTTCAAGTCTAATTCTTCTCAAATGTGGCAGAAGGATTTCGAGACTCTGGAGGTCCTCTGGACAAATAAATTGGTCTTATGAACCTTTCTTCTTTTGGAGCTTTAGTACATGTATCCTGAATCTTAAGTCAGGTATACATTTGGTCTATTGGAATATCTTTGAGTGATAGGGGAATTCAATGACATTAAACATTTGATAACAATGTCTAATCAAAACGGATTCACAAAATGCATCTTTGGAAATGTGATTTATTTTTTGTTTTTAATTAATTTTGAATTTTGTTAAATACAGAGCACACATGGATGTACATGTACAGTATGTCAATTTAAACTTTAAGAATTGAGGAACTTTTTATGGCTTCCGTTGACCAACTTACCTTTACTTTATTTCATGCCTTTTCTTTTATTGTTGTTCAAGTCCATTTCTTCCTTCGTGAATTCATTTTTTTCCTGAACTTTTTGGCTTCCACTCAACTGGATGTAGCCATGGCGCAGAAAATAAACTCATATTTATGGCATACTTATGCCATTATTCTTTACAAATATTTGATGAGTAATAAATACTTGATTTGCTTGTATTAAACAAAGCCATAAAATGATAACTAATATCAAAGTACATTTGGAATAAGTACATGAGCTATAGTTGATATTCTTGTGTTCTATTAAAAAAAGGGGTTTTCGGCTGTCAGATTTCCATACAATTCCCTTCTTTGGGATACCTGAAGGCTTACTTTTCAAACTTTTGTGTAATCTTTTGACAATGGATTTGAAGAAAAAAAGCAAACTGTCTGAGTCTTATAGTATTGATAAGGAAATTAAGCTATTGCCTACTGGAACTGCGTGGTCCCTGTATTTAGCATATGAGCATGAGAGAAATCGGTAGTCAACAGGTTAAGCCTTTGTATTGAATAGCCAGTGTAAATAATGGGAATAAATACCCAAATAGGTATAATTCTTGCTTTGTCATCAGCATATATATCTCCTGGTTTTCAAAAGAAATCTGATCAGTAAAGGTCAATAAAAACATGTTTGCATCTCCAGCCAAATATTGTCCCTTTGTAAATTTTTAGAACTCGGTAAAAAGAAAAACATGCGAACAAAGACCTAAATATCCAGGGGTGCGGTCAACTGGTTTATAAATGGATAGAGAAAAGAGTAGAATAATACATGAATAGAATAAAAGATGAAAAGATGAATAGATGAATAGTCTAATACAAGATAATACACCCTTCTAATTTCAATTGCCAGTGAAGAAAATAGCAAACTTATTGTGGTGAAGGATAAAGATGTGGTTGAGGGAATTTGATGTTGAAGACCTGCTTGGTTATATCTGCATTAACTGCAGTACAGTTCTGGTCAGTTGAGTGCTGGTAACAAACATTCTATTCATCATTCTATCATCGTATTCTCTATTCATCAGCAAGTTGACCTCACCCCTGCCTATTTATAGGTCTTTGTTTGCATCTCACCCAGTCTCACCCAGGTTTAAAAGTTTACAAGGAGACAATATTAATTTGCCTCGAGATGCAAACATATGTTATTGACCTTTTTACTGTTCTGATTTCTTTTAAAAACCAACAACAACAACCAAAACAGTATAAGAGAAAGCATTATTTGACTTCCCTGAAAGAGTAAAGGCCTAATAATGAGATATCTGATGAAGAACATCATGCTCTCTGGCTTTCTTTGATCACCTTCAAGTTCTGTCAACTGCAGTGTAAGTGAACACCCTCCTGTTTGTTGAATCTAACATTCATCAACACGTGCGTTATTGATAAATGCACTGTACTTGTGCCATGTTAAAAATGTGAATGTTCACATACATGTATGCTGATGTGACTTGACTTGACTTGGTTACATCTCAATTCCCTGTTCAGATTATCCTTAAGAAATATGAATAGAAAGTTCATCTCTGAAACTAAACTTTTCCAAGAAATTAATTAACAATTTGAATTTTAGGTAAACTTCAGCTGCCGATATCCTATGCACATGCAAACAATTTTGCATACATTATCAGTAGATAATCTGGATTAATTTATTAACAAAAATGTTTTTAAAAAATAGCCTTGTTTCAGTTTCAGTTGATATGAAACTCGTATTTTAATGGAAAAGAAAAGAAAATGTATCCTGTATCAAGTGAAGCCATACAATTAATTCAAAAGGAAGATGAACACGCACACAAAAACTCCAATTGACTTGAGACAAACAAATTGGAGATGAAATGTGTGAGAATGTAATAAGATGGTGGGCTTGTAAGATATCCAGTATGGGTAGAGGTGTCGTGGACGAGTGGATATGTCACCGGACTGTGGATCACAAGGTTCGCGGTTCAAGTCCCACCGCGGCACTAATGTCCTTTGGCAAGACATTGATCTAAATTTGCCACTCTTCACCCAGGTGTTAAATGGGAACCCGGTAGGATGCGAAAGCTAATGTGGTTAGATTAGCAAGTGTGCGCTTGTAAAAAAGACGCCTGGCTGGAATGCTCCCCAGGGAGTGGAGAATGTGCATACATTGTGTGCGGGTAAGCCTGAATCCCATGACCGGGGTAATAATATATATATCTGTAAAGCGCTTTGGGAGGGCCTTCGGTCCTGAAAAGCGCTATATAAGAACTAGCTATTATTATTATTATTAGAGTGTTTATATAGTAGCTGCGCTATATAAATTGGTCTAATTTGTATTATTATTAATATTTAAGAATTTCAGTTGCCTTTGATATATGTATATGAGAGAGAACATCTTGATAAAACTAAAATGTAAGGAAGGTACAAAGTAGGGAGCTATGGGATGAATTGTATTCAAAAGACCCACATACATTTCATTTGCTATATTTCATGCATTGTATTGAAAAGTCCCATACATTTTCACATTCCTGACTACAATAGCAATATTTCAAGTATTGTAAGCTTCATTTCTGTTCGTGGGAACCTGAGCAGATAAAATTGTTTGGCTGAGCTCTGACCCTCAAAAATGGGTACCTGCTTTCTTTTTATCCTTCAATGGGGTCTCTATTCATTCAGGGAATTGACAGATGTATGTAGATTGATATAGACTTGCACTTTGAAATTAGTTGATGCGATATGAAGAAAAAAAATGGGGGAAAAAAATATTATTTAGTGAAGACCTTGCAGGGACTGCCTCGACAGAATCTTATGGTTTTATTTGCAGTTTCCCCAATTCATTTCTATTTTGCTGATTAACTTTGTATAATTCCAGTATATTTGTAGACATGTTTCCATTTTGTGTGTGTTCTGTGTTTTCTATATTGTATAAAATCTGTATCTTATATGTTTTTTATGGATATGAATTGAAATAAAACTTGAACTTTGAACTTGAACTGAATTATCAATAGCATGTCAGAGATTCTGATAAATAATAGCTGGAATGATATATGTTAGGATTTGTTTCTCTTTGTATCTCTTATGATAATAATGAGCACATGCTCAAATTTATTTATGTGATATACGCTAACTAGAATGGTTCATTATTATTATTCTAATCAATCTTGGGGATAATGAATGAGCATAATATAGATATAGATATAGACATACATATAGATATTTGAACTTTTTCAATGATTAAATAAAAACTTAAATAACGTCACTCAACCTACTGCTATCTCATTATAAGATTGCTTCAAAGATGCATATTAGACTTTAACAAATTTTCATCTCCTGCTAAGAAACATGAATATATGCCATCACAAGTGATGCACCACTATAGAATGAAATATTTTTCTTTTCACTATACCTGTGATGTACCTGGGCACTAATTGGTGGTATTTCATATTTTCTTCTTAATTTAAATTTGTACACATTTTAACTATTTGCCTGGTAACGGAATAAATGAATGAATGAATAATGAACAAATAGATAAATTAATAAATGTTAGGATTGTGAAATGGTGTGTGCAGCGCTTTGTAACCGCAAGGAAAAGGCGTTATATCAAATATCTTTTGGATTGGATTGGATTGGATTACCGGTAATAAATGAATGAATGAATAAATATATCAATGAATAAGTAAATAAATGAATTATCCATCTTTAATCCCCTTTCAGGTCGTGTACTTCACTGCCACCTTCCCTTACGTCTTGCTCACCATTCTGATGATTCGGGCGGTGACGTTACCGGATGCCATCAATGGTATTTACTTCTACTTGAACCCAAACATTTCAAGGCTTGCCGACAGTCAGGTATGTATGTGTGGATATCTATACCTCTATCTCGCTCTTGATCATTCTGTCCCTCGATGTGTACATTAGAGTAGGTTTATGCTATTCTTTTTTTTTTCATGAATTAGAATGACAGCTGTTTAGCTCTTATCTTTTTGTGGCATGTAATGTATCGAAAAGGACATTTGACATACCGTTCAATAACCCTAAAATTTTCTGGTGCAATTACCCTGCAGATGTAGGAAACAAGCATGACATAAAGCAAAAGTGCTTGCAAATGTGAATAGAGAACTATATAAACATTTGACCTGCAGTTTGTGTTCTGAGCTGTCTGGGCTTGCTGCAGCTACTTATTTTAAAGGAAGTTCACTTGAAGAAAAACATTTGGAAGGAAGTTCATTTTAAGAACAACATTTTGTTATCTGAACTTTCACTTTTATGCAGCTACACATATTTCTCTCAATGAAAGGGCTGGTAAAGATACCATTCACTATCCAAATTTTGAGAGATGCGATGAAAATTAGCCTCTCATGATTTATACAAAATCCTAAAAGATACAATCCCACCATCCACCCACTATATCAGCCAGTTATAACCAAGATTTACGGTTAAATTCAAATTCCACATGTTTACTATTTTTGTTTAATGAGGGAAATAAACATATTTCAACCCAGTCGGTATGGGGTTGCAACACTTCTATGCTTCTTAACTACTTCTAGGAGATAAGACATAAGATGTAGGCTGACACAAGGGGGATTATATAGGATATCCCCTAACAGAATTCCATTGTGCATCTCACATTGGGAGAGCTCGCTCACATAGATGTTGACCCGTTTCAGGCTAGGGTCCCCATCTCCTGCATGTAAAATTGCTCTCTTTTGTTTGCTCGAAGGTAGTACGCAATAAATCTTCCACTGAAGAATGTGAATGACACTTAGAAAAATATGAATGATTAATGAAATTGTAGCTAGTGCTATTGGGCTGTGGGCTTATATCACCATGGTAATTGTCGAGTTACTTTTTTTCCAAAGAGTCCAAAACATTTATGACAAGGTTTAAATCTCATAAATATCAAGAAATATTTAATTATGAATTTACAAGTTTGAATAGTTGTAAAAAAAAGTAATAAGTAAACTCATATTGGTATCATATAAGGTGAGAATTTTTTCAAGTACACATTTAAAACAGTTTTACAGTCCAGAACAAAATGATTCCCAGGTAGGAAAACAAGGCCATGCATGATAATGCATACTAGTATTGCATTGTGTATGGAACAGAATATATTTGAACAAATATGAAAAAGTTGTCAAATCCACATTTGCTTGTTGGTTAATGTACAAAAAAGAATCTTCTACACCTCCATATTGAACAAATAAGAGCATGGAAATAGCATTTTATTTTAAGAATAAAAGAGTCATGGCCCATGTCTTTGACCTTGAAGTACATGGAAAGATCGAAAGGAAGCTGCATGCACTCATTTTAAACAAAATACATGAACCAGTGCTTCATGTCATTCATCATGCACTATGCAAATAATATTATACAAATAATGAATGGTTATGAGTTCAATAGTGCGAATATGTTCATGAGTTGAAAGATTAACATTCTATTCAACGAGGCGTCAGCCGAGTTGAATAGAATTAACGTTAATCTTTCAACGAATGAACATATTTGCACTATTAAACGAACGAAAAACATTCATTATTTGTTTTATACAACATCGAAGAAGACCTAGCTAATAGAACGTTAATCAACAAATTATGCTTTACTCCTTATAAAGATAAATTACAGTTCGAGTCAAGCCTTCTCAATTACATGCAGATTGCCTTCGCGTCAGATACACGCAGGGATACGCGCGCGCACATGCAGTAGAGAGGTACGCAGTCTGCATATAACCAAAAATGCACGGCGCATATAACCAAAAATGCACGACCGTGCAATATACCATCTATTGAATATCATGTGACCAACAATCGTCCAATCAAATGACAAGGATCCACGTAGGTGTTGTATAAACTGTACTTGTTTATGTGATATCCTGCTAATTGTGTGGATGTCATAGCTTTAAAGAAAACCTCACTCTTAGAAATAACTTACCGTATCTTATTCTGAGAAATGTATTACATGAATGAAAATCAAGATCATTATTTCAACATTTTCCTTCAAATATTTGTTTAAGAGGTGTGATCTCCAATTGAAAACTGTGCATGACAGATCACTGATAATTGTGTGGATGTCATAGCTTTAAAGAAAACCTCACTCTTAGAAATAACTTACCGTATCTTATTCTGAGAAATGTATTACATTCTTGTCAATGAATCTACAAGATTCCCCACCAAAGTGTATGAGAGAGGCATAAAGCAAGAATAGTGTACAGTTTGAATGTTTCTTAGCATGACATGGGCATCGCCATTTTCTTGATAACATTTATTTTACGATTTTTAAATGAATGAGTTACAATTGTTCCCCTGTTATATATTTTCTTCAACATGGCATACGTGTGTTTATTTGACAACCAATTACCGTAATAGAACAAGAAAAAAAGAAACACAGATAGTTGTTCTTCATCACATTTGCTGTCTCTTGGACAAACTTAACTTATCAACGGTGTTTAATAAAAACTACGGTATTTAAAGAATATATATTTACAAGGTCCTTGTATTATTATTCACTGTGCTTTTGTGGAGTTTTGATGGCATATTGCCCTAAGGCCCAACTTTTTAAACTTCATTTTTTTTTTGTATCACAATAATAGATTTTCTTCCCCCTTCCATTCTCTCTTCAGGTTTGGATGGATGCTGCAACCCAGATTTTCTTCTCCTACTCAATTGGTCTCGGCACAATGGCTGCTCTTGGCAGTTATAATAAATTTAATGTCAATTTCGTCAGGTAAATCACAAATAAAATCTTTGTTGGCTCAGTGGCTAGGATAGGTTAGGTTATGAACAGTTAGGGCTTAAACATAAGGGACACAAAATCATTTTCTACTTCTTCCAGTTTTTTCTTCTTAATTTTTTATTGTTTTTTCTTGATGGGGGCTTTCTTTCTCAAAATTCTTACATGAAGTGTTAGGGCCTTATGTATCGATTAGGATGTAACTAGTCTGTTATCACTATGGGAAGTTCACACACTCAAGACACAGATGTGAAGGAATATTCTGCTAAAAATATTTTATTTCTCTTGGGTTTTAACATCAAATTTTTCTAAAGCTAACTATAAAATAGCAGCAAAATTGATAAAAAAATAGAAGAAAGAAATCTAAAAAAATCCCAAACACTCCATTGTGGTTCTTGTTTATTACCTATTTCAAATAACTTGAGAATCATGTTGCAGAATGACCAGTCACAAGGGTTTGTGAACTTCCATCTCTTTACCATTTGAACTTCATCTGATGCTCTACTCCCAATCATCTTTGAATATAGGGATGCAGTCATTTTCGCCTGTACAAACAGTGGCACAAGTCTGTACTCTGGTTTTGTGATTTTCTCCGTTTTGGGCTTCATGGCTGGCAGGCAGGGGGTTGAAGTTGCAGACGTAGCAACGTCAGGTAATTCTTAAAGCAGAACCAAGCAAAATATATAAAGCAAAAACAGTGACTATCTCTCATTCATCGCCCGCCCTGGACCAGAGGATGAGGAGGAGGAGGAGGAGAGAGAGAGAGAGAGAGCTCACTGTCAGGTATTTTCGTAGAGACTTATAGGGACTAAGCAACCTCTTCTGCTCGGTTTTCTGCTTTTTAGCTAATGGGCGTGAACTTCTTGCATATTTTTATTTTTTGCATTTTTCATGAACATATATACATACATATACATACATTTATATAAATTAATGATTTTCGTCATACACTTGGCCACAACATTTCATTGAGAAAAAATGTGGTGTTGCAGCTGATCACAAATATAAACTCCTACAAAATTCCATCACACAACTCTCATTCATGTCAATGGTTTTTCACAAACGTACCGACATTTCTTTCACCAGTGAGGAAATGCTCATAGTATGGCAAGAAATTCTTCTTTCAACCGCTGCTAAGAATGAGTTACATATATTCATATCACATCAATATTCATAATCTCAATCAAATCACGAGCATTTAATATCCTCATTACAAAGAAATCAAACACTTGTATGCTTACACAACTATCCTTATGCTTTATTTTATGTCATATTTTCTTCTGCAAGTTTGACATAATAAAATTTGACCACATTTAATTTAAGATACATCATACTTTTAAATTATACAGTAATTGTAAGGCATTTCTTTCTTATCTCACATATAACTTTTATTTTTTTATAATTTCAAATATAAGTTTAGAATATCTTGCTAAATCTTGTTAAAAGATAATAATAATAATACTCAGTTTTTATATAGCGCTTATTACCATCACTAAGCGCTTCCATTATCTATTTCATAATATATTTATGATAACATGCTTATTGCATCTCTTGCTCTACTCAATCTAACAATTTAAACATGTTTGCAATGTATTTTTAATAACGGAATACACAAAATCTTGATTTTGAACCATTTCTCCTATATGTGCATTCTGTCCATAAGCATGCAATGAATACATATCTCAGTATCTCATATATATATATATATATATATCTATACACACACTTATTACATCTCAAAACGTACATCTCATATTCTCACAAATACCATATCAACACATCCTACTTACTTTTTGCCCAGTTTGGAGCCCCTTTTGGGGGGTTCATACATGATAATATATTTCTGACAGGATTATTCTGGTTTAAATCTTGCAAACGTTTGTTTGAGAGATTGCATTTTGGTGGTTGAAGTGATTTTTTTGATGAACACTTTTACAGTGCCTTGCTAGATGCTGCCCCACTTGAGAACTTTTGGTTGACAATTTTCACCCGGGATTGAATTTTGGTAAACTGAATGGGTTCATTTGGAACCTCAACATAGCAACAGAAGTTTTTGGTTTTGAATTAGTCAAGTTGAGAAATTGAACTTTTGGTTATTGAATGGGTTTACCCATTCACTTTTTTGACTAGGGCAAGAGGATGTTTAATTTGATTCCTGCCTTTTTCGTCAGTGCTGCCCAAACTAAAACCCCATGGATTTTTTTTTTCTTTTTGTGTGTAAGATATCTTAATTTCCATGTTACACCCTGTGTAGAGAGAGATCATATATATATTTTTTTTTTAATTTTTCATAAAGTTAGACAAATTAAACCACATTCATCCATTATGAATACTTTTAATTCCATTTAAATATGGACTAGACTAGAATTAGATAATTTAGTATGACCATGATATCTTCTTTATACATTAATATGGAAAATATATTGTTTTGAAGGACAAAACTTGTACAAACATACATACACACCTCATACATTTAATTCACACAATTACAAATATTGTATACAACCTGTAGGGCACATGCAAGTATTTCATAATTAGTTGGTTTGTTATTAGAGAATGTTGATTTTCACAATTGTTTATTAATGGGAGGATAGATTAAGATATTTTTGAATGACTAGTTGGAAGTCTTACTCCATTCCCATACATTTTATTTAAGGGCTTTCATTGATAAGGAGTAATATAAATATTATTTCATTTGGACGAAAGACTTTTTAATTCTCTTTTTAAAACAACTGTTATAAATAGATTCAAAATTACACCAGTTATGCTCATTTCACATTGCAAAGTTTTTTATGTGATTGCTGTGTTTTTTTCAAATTGTAAGCTGTAGATTAAAGTGATTTTGAGTTTAGAAGAATAGTTGTATTTGTGATGACTGAATTTTAATCAAAGTAGACATTTGACAACTTAATTGTTATACTGATACAATGAGACTTTGGTTTGATTAAAAAATAAAGGAAATAAATAAAAGTAAATGGCTTTAAGTTCACAAATATGATCGGAATTAAACAAAAAAATGGGTCTATTTGGTATATGACCTATACAAATGTCATTTTCTATGCATCAAAGACGTTAAAAAATGAAATGTGATTTACTCGGAAGGAGCTCTCACGTTTTTGTTTTCCAAAATCACATTCACACAAGTCACTTATTAGACTGTTGCCTTTTCCTTTTCCTATCTAAATATATATGCACACTTTGGGTGAAAAGTGTGACTATTTTGTGTACATATAACTTATACCTTTAAATAAAATTGAGTCATCAGTTAATGCAGTCATTTGATCTTTCAGTTAGTGTCTCTATCCTCTTAAATCAATTATACTTAGAGAAATTGAAAGGATATTACAAGAGGAACAAAAAGAATTAGCCATGTTTTCTGCTTTCATCACATTACTTTTTATCAGCAATTAGCATATACTTTCTAATGTATGCTGTTGCTGTTTTTGTGCTTCATGCCTCAAATTGGCCTCAATAAAAACTGGTTTGAAATCTTCAAATTTAGCAATTTCATATAAAACAAGACTAGCTTTCATCCGAAAATTAAAAGATAGGGAATCTGATTTATTGGAATGATTTCCATTCCTAAAATTGTTATAGATCATTGCTGCATGCCCTTTGTGGCATATTTTTTATGCATTCATTCGTTTTGTGTGTATCATATAGTTAAAAGTACCTATTGCGGCTCTCAGCCCCTTCTCCGGTAAGTATGTGGTGAGTACGTAGCCACACTTTATGGAAGCTGAGACATCTCCATCAAATTTAGAGGAAAAATACAAAAAGTTTCCCCGAGAACTTCAACTTTTCAACAGAGAATATATTATATGTATGATATAATGGTACTAAGAATTTGATTGAATGTATAATTTACGAAAGAAAAATGACGTTAGAAAAGAAGAACTGGTATGTCTAGTATGCTATTATAATAGTTTATCTCCATGGAACTTGTAATGATTATAAATTTATTTAATTGTATATATCATCATTGATGAGGAGAGTACATTTCAGAACTGTATCTTCACTTTATTACATTATCGATTGTTTAATTTTGTTTAGTTTGGAATGTTTCTTCAAAAGCTTTGATAACAATCATGAAAGGTTGCATTTATCAGCAGCTTTTAAACCACTGTTTAGCACTAAGGAACAGTTACATTCATGGTTTGAAGCATCATTTGTTCTTCGATTCATCTCATTTAATTCTGTATAAAAATGTGTCTTTCGCATCACTCATTTTAATAATACTGGTAAGACTAGTGCTAAGATTGAATTACGGTGATGTTCTGTCAGGTTTTATGTGCTACATGAAGAGTTTCTCCTTATTTACTCTACCAGGCAAACTCATTCATCATTACCAAAGATATAAATGCTTATCAAGTGTGATTCCTCATATTTGCTGTATAGTTTGTGACCCTCTAGGAAAAAGACAAAGATATTTGTTATTTCCCCCAAATTTGATAGATTGTAATAGCACTTTGTGCACCTTGTTTGAAGCTCTCACCATCTCTCTGTTTCCATGTGTTGGCAAGCATGTACCTGTGTGATACATTCAGCTTTATATTTACTTGATCAACATGCAATGCATTCTCAGATGGGGATCTATGCATGTACTCATTTTGGTATAGTTGGGTGGTGGATATATATTATTAAATGAATGGTTTGGAGACTGTGGAAGGTCTTTAAACAAATACGGGACTTGTCCCCATTTTGCTTGAATGGGGTGTGATGCAGGGATTAATCAAACAGATACTGATGTCATATCTGATGTCAAGCTGTCTTTTAGACATGGTGGGGTTTGGGTGGGATAGGTTTATAGGTCTTTCTACGGATGAGGGATTCATTCCCATTTAGGGGATTAAGTGGGATGTATAGTACGTACCAAACATTCGGGATACCCAGCAGAAAAACATCACTCAGTCCAGTTGGAGTTTAATTTCAATTTTTCATTCTTATAATAACAAAAAAGCAATACTTCTGTAGGTCCAAATGCTTACTTTCCATTAAAAAATTGTATTTTACATACAGAACAGGGCCTTTATTATGGAGTGATTGGTTGAAGCCTTCACATCCCTTACACAAAGAATGTTATATATATTTCCAGAGATAGTGCCTGAATTTTTTATCTCTGTGGGTATAAACTGTCTCCAGAATTTTAGAGATTATACAGAACCTAGCTTGTACATTTACTTATTGAAAGGGGGTCTGTAGAAGAAATTGCATAGGAAAGATCAAACTATTCCTTCATTCCATTCCCAATGTGGAGCATGATTTTGAAACATCCAGGGTTGCATATCCAATCATGCAACCTGGATAAATGTGAAAACAATGTTGACAATTATGAGAATAGTCTGTTTTGGTGTATGTTTGCTTCATTAGTAGTAACCTAGCTTGCATGAACCAACAGGCTCAGTGTGAAGATGGCAGAGATAGACATGGCAATGATCTTCCGCTCCCCTTCTATCTCTTCCGCTCCACCCCCTCCCCTTTTAATCTCTCCCGCTCCCCACCCTTCCCCTCTAGAAAATGGCAATGATCCAGTAACCATTTCCCCTCAACCCAGTCCCCGTCCCTTCTGTCTCATCCACCCCTCCCCTACTCTTCTCCCCTCCTAGCTCTTCTCCTCTCATTATCCCTGTACTCTAATCCTGACCTAGCTACATACATTGGATGATCCTTATCCATAATTTCAAACCGACTACACATCTCAGTAACCATTTCATTTCATGGACCCAACGTCTCGATCCATTCCTCCCTAATCGGACTGAGCATGCTTCCATATTCTTCTAACCCTATAACTCAAGCTTCCCTCAAACGCTTTATATTCTGTTATTTGCCATATTTACCTCTGCCATTTGTACATCGTTACAAGAGGTATACCCTATCACAAATAAAGCGTGTGTTCGTAAATGTCAGCAATTAGAGAGTTTCTTCAATATCATGTACATCTAAATCGTTGCCCCACTCAATGATAGAACCTGCAGTACTTGTAAGCTTTAGTGTCGTTCTAATGCAGTAATCGCAACCTAGATTCTGACGGTATATCTTCTCTCTTTCTTTGTTCTCCCATAAATGTGCCTTGGTACGTCTAGGTCCAGGGTTGGTGTTTATCGCCTATCCAGAGGGTATATCCCAGATGCCCATCGCGCCACTTTGGGCTTTCCTCTTCTTCTTCATGCTCATCATCCTGGGCATTGATAGTCAGGTGAGTAATTGATAATTAGAGAAATAATTAGAATATGAGAGGGTGATAATTCTTAAAGCGGGACTGCACTACTATTAGCTACTTGCGCCCTCTATATAGCAAACGATGCCTGTTGGTCCCCCATGATCCCTTTTTCTGATGCTAATTGAGAGCTGATTTGATGAGAGAACCACCTGTCAGTGTCCTTGCAGGGAGGTCTAATCCCTCCTGACCAAACTAGTGCAGAGTGCTCCTCTTGTTCAAACATGAGCATATAGCCTAGCATCATCTGGCTCCTGATAACTTTATTGAGCCATCCTTGAATCAAAGATGATGGTGTCAATTAGTAGCGTGTTGACAGTATCAAGGAAATGGAAGAGATGCTAGATTATTCAGACTCTGCCATTCTTGTGCCCACTGATGGACAGCCCCAAATATAAAGAATCAATCAAAGAAACAGATAACCAATCAATCAATTAATCAATTAGCCATTCAATCAGTAAATTGATCAATTAATCAAGTAGCCATTCAATCATTAATTGACCAACCAATCAATCAATCAATCAAGTAGCCATTCAATCAGTAAATTGATCAATCAACCAATCAATCAATCAAGTATTCATTCAATCAGTAAATTGATCAATCAATCAATCAAGTAGCCATTCAATCAGTAAATTGATCAATCAATCAATCAATCAATCAAGTATCCATTCAATCAGTAAATTGATCAATCAATCAATCAAGTAGCCATTCAATCAATAAATTGATCAATCAACCAATCAATCAATCAAGTAGCCATTCAATCAGTAAATTGATCAATCGATCAATCAAGTAGCCATTCAATCAATAAATTGATCAATCAACCAATCAATCAATCAAGTAGCCATTTAATCAGTAAATTGATCAATCAATCAATCTAGTAGCCATTTAATCAGTAAATTGATCAATCAACCAATCAATCAATCTAGTAGCCATTCAATCAGTAAATTGATCAATCAACCAATCAATCAATTTAGTAGCCATTCAATCAGTAAATTGATCAATCAACCAATCAATCAATCTAGTAGCCATTCAATCAGTAAATTGATCAATCAACCAATCAATCAATCAAGTAGCCATTCAATCAATTAGTCAATCAGTCAATCAATCAATTACTCAATCAGTCATTCAATCAATTAGTCAATCAGTGAATCAATCAATTTTTAAGAAACATTAAATGTTGGCATGACCTAGCTACCACCTGTGGATCAAACCCAATAGTGCTGAGTGGGGATAATTTTAGTTTTGCAATGCCCGTAGATAAAATTTATACCCAATTTTTCTGACCTTTGTGACAATATAAAACTCTATTTGATATGAGCAAAGTCCATCTTTCAATTGTTACGACTCTTTATTCAATGAACAAATTGTATTTGGAATACACCCAAATGCACACATTGTTAACATTTATTTTGGAGATCTGAATAAGTATATTTATAGAGTAAATGGGTTATGGGTGCCCCAAAGAGCTTCAGTGTCAATTTGTTTTGATTGATATTCTATACTGCATGATCTGTTCTGTGAAAATAATGAAACGTGTCAGTTTGTTGAATATAATAATACAATATTTATAAAGCGCATAATAAACAGTTTCCCACAGTCATAGTCATGGGATGAAAAGTTGGCAACAGATCAGTTTTTTTTTTTGCAAGTCATTGCTTTCTATCATGACAGATAGACCATTTTCATTTTACTTTCATTTGATGATCATTGTTATACTTGTGTGTAAATCAGTTTTTATTTTTAGTAGATTTAAGGAGAGAAATTTCATGTAATTATGATGTATAATAAGAAGGGTTGATTCACCTTAAAAAAAAATGAATTGGTTTGATTGGAGTAATCAAACCTGTTGCATGAATGATACACAATATGTAAAAGAATGTCAGCAAGATATCTGTAGAATCAGAGAGCTCTTAACGGAGCTCACTAGCCCTTTTGAGGCTCTTCTTCCTGTAACAGAATTACATGGTGTAACCCTGAATACATTGCCGACAAATAAGATCTCAGTGTGTCCATTTGTCAAATCAAAAGCCGTCGATCCTGTCACATCTGCTGTCCTAATCTGATCTTTATCAGGAACATGGTATTAAAAACTGATTAGGCCGATTTGGATACACCCTTTTAATGGGCCCTACTGTTTGTCAATTAAAACTGGACGGAAACAGTCAAGGTAATCTGTCAAATAGAAAGTCCTCAAAGGGTACAGTTAGCTTACAAGCAAGCTACCAAAGCACTAGATTTCTGTGAATTCTTTTACCAATAAAAATGGTTTGAGCCATTTATTACCAAAATTGTTTGTGCGTTGGTTACATGTTCACAATTAAACAAGTCATCATTTACAAGAAGCTTGACTTCTAAAGCATTAGATAATTGGTCATTTTTTCAGCTGCTTAATTTTCCTAACTCAAGATTGAACGAAGCCTGCATCTTGCGATACGCCTAGTGGTTTATTAAAGCAGTTGTGCATTATTAATCTTCATTGATACACCTTTTGAGTAGGACACATTGATTCTCTAGAAGTCACCCTTAATTTGTAAATGCTAAACAACTTTGGAGTATTTAAAGACAAATTAATGTTACTTACTAAATTTACTCTGTCCACAGAAACTATAAGTCTATAATTCCATTAAATTAGTTTGGGATAATATCAATAAGAGTGTTCTAAATCACATTAGTTTGGGGGTATTGTGAAGCATAAATTTCTTACCAGTTTAGGACAAAATAAAGTCCCTGTTAGGGCTGAAAGAAATGAATGAACTTCATAATTATATTCATAGTGATATTTCATAAACAAAGCAGAAAAAAAAGTGTTCCCAAATACCCAGAATATCAATTAAAATTGACTATAAATATTGATTAACTGAGAGTGCAAATTGTGAAGTCTTGAGGCCTCTTGCTCAGGCTGTGTTTTGCCTATGTTTATTGTAGCTTTGACTGATTGTAATATTAGATACTCTCTTAATATCTGTATGGTTCCGAGGTAGCTTAAATTGTACCATTGAGCATGCTAGCACATAAGTGTCCAAACAAATCATTAAGCCAGTTTAATTATATGCCTATCAACCCTGCAACGGTATTTCAGTTATGTTGTTGGTATACAAATACATGATTTCTGTTCAAAATCCCTCAAGTTTTTTTTTCTGTGACTCATTTGACATCTAGTTTGCTGGTGTTAAATGCTTCATGACTGCGTTCAGCGATCACTCCCCTAACTGTTCAGAAGTCCTCAAGTTCTATACTATTTTCTGTTTTCTTTGACATGTAGTTTGTTGGTGTTGAAGGCTTCGTGACTGCGTTCATTGATCTCTTCCCTAACTACTTGCTGAAAGGAAGCAGGAGAGAGTACTTTGCATTCTTCACATGCCTCGGCTTCTGTATAGCAGGTTTACCTATGGTTACATATGTAAGTATTACCATTTCTACCTCAACTTCTTTCCTTTGAAAACCGGAATTCACTGTATTTAACCTTATCTTATAGGAATTAGAATGTTCAGGAGTCGAAGGGTGAAGAGTATCAAGAACTTTAGAACAGAGACTGAGAGTGAACATGGTTTGTGGAGTAAGCTTAACAGGGTTTTGAACTTGTCATAGAATTTCAGGATTGTCCATGAAACCATAGTTGCAAAAGTTGGGATGTTTGTGATAGAGAGTGAGGCAAGTCTTAAATTCACTTGGACTGAGGATGGAACTATCTGAAGACTCTTAAAAAAAAGCCACCACAGGGTGACCAATAGTCTCTGAATTTCTATTCATGATTGAATATTGTTTTGTTGCAATTTCTTTTGAAAGCCTCTGAAGGGTAAAAAGATCTTAGGGTGAGAGTGAAAATTATTAAAGGAGTCACGTTCAGTTAAGGGGAACCTGGGCATATCAAATGTAAATAACCTGGTACAAAGTTCTTTCAACTTTGGGGTATGTGTTGAAAGAATCTGTTTTTAATTGTGCATTGACAATGATACTTCCTGGACATATTGGAAACCATATATCAGTTATTTTAATGGTTCATTGATTTCCTATATACCCAGGGATATATCAGTATGATCTTATAAGGAAGCATGGTTAGTCAATCACACAACAAAATGTTGAATTTTTCAACTTTAAGACCTTGAATGATGACTTGGTTGCCCCATATACATATAAACTCTGGTGACAATTGCTCAGAGATTTATTTTGCTTAAAGATATAGGTTAAAGTTGGTAGTGTAAGGTATAGTGATTGGTCTGGGGTTAATGTTAAGAATTAGGTTAGTGTAGGGTTTGACCATAGAGTACTTGCCACTGGAGCATGATCTTACATAGTGGTTTTGTCCCTCATGTAATATAGGTGTCATATTGATTGCATTGACTGTCGGTCACATCCCCTATTTACTTGGAAAGGGTTCAGATATGTTGAGACAAAAGTGAGAACATATGGTCGAATGTCATAATAGAAAGGGCGTTTATTTGTGTAAAGTTGCTCTTTCTTAAAAAGCTTAAAATTACTAGACGGAAGATTACAATGTTTCACTTTTAACAGCATCCAAAACACTATTCTTGTTTTTAACTCTGTTGTAAAAATCTGTTATCTGGACTGTTGTTCTTGTGGCATGATCCGCCATGCTTCTTTCCTGTTTAGTGGCCTGGTATTGCTATCTGGAAGCATGATTGATATGTGGACTAATGTTGATGTTTACCTTGGCTACCTGTCATTTCCTTTCTTTGCAGGGAGGAATGTATGTATTCCAGCTGTTTGACAACTATTCAGCCAGCGGCGCTGCACTTCTCTTTGTATCCTTCTTTGAAAGTGTTGCTATAGGATGGGTCTACGGTGAGTAGAAGATGAACTTTGCATCAGAATAAATAGCCACATACCCCTGTGGACTACCACCCTTCCCAACTATAACACCTGTAGAACAACTTACCCCAATAATAATACTCAGTTTTTATATAGCGCTTATTAGAATCACTAAGCGCTTCCAAACTTGGAGATTATTACCCAGGCTTTAGCTGTACTGCCATTGCGGCACTCTAGCATTTCAAAGAATTAATTCCTGCCAGGTACCCATTTACATCACCTGGGTTGAGTGTGGCAAATGTAGATCAATGTCTTGCCAAAGGACATTAGTGCCGCGGCGGGTCTCGAACTGCGGACCTTGTGATCGACATTCCAGCGACTTAACCACTTGACCACGACACCTAAAACTCCCTCCCCCCCAAAAAAAACAAAAAAACAAACAACTACTTGCATGGCAATTCCTCCAAACAATCTACCTCTTTGTTAGTTTTGTACACCACACATTACAAGGAGGTACATGGGAGGTACTTTATCCAGGTTGGTAATCCAGGGGATAGTTGTCCTAGAACCCATAAACTAAACCCCCATGTGCAACTAAGTTTAGAAAGTTCATTATTACAAGTTATTACTAATGTCCTTTGGCAAGACATTAATCAACTTTTGTCACTCCCAAGTGAAGTAAATGGGTCTCCGTTAGGAAAATATTCCCTGAATGCTTTATCGCCCTTTCATGGCAGCTCAGCTACAGCTGGGGTAATTATGCGCTATTTAAGGATATTGCAAAGTTTTGGGAAATTGTATGGATACTAATTCTTTAAAATGTTGATATTTTGGATGCCCCTGTGAATGTATTAAAAGCACTAAAAAATTTAGCCCCTAAAACAATTATGCTTTTGAGCAAATTAAATAATCAAAATTTACCGGTGCTCCCGGTAAATATTGTACATCATTACAATTCTTTAGAAGCACTTGCCTCTCATGACAGAAGATTGGTTATGCGGGAATTTATGCATTGAAATCAAAGATATGTGGATTATTTTATATAAAGTTTTGTTCAAACAAGGTAACATTTATAATAGTGCATACAACGTTTGAAACGTGGGGTAAGTAGTTACAATAAAATGAACAAATCCTGAATATGTCATGGTGGTAGCAGTCATTAAAATGTCCAAATATCATTGACATGTTTCACAAATTTTCCAGACCTCTTATATTTTCTCCATATTAATGACACAACCCATATATATATATCTCTTCTCTTTTTTTGTACGTGTATAGGTGCTGACAGGTTCATAGGGAACTTCAAAACAATGCATGACTTCAGAGCTTTATTTTGCTGTGGGCAATATCTGAGGCTAACCTGGATGATAACCACTCCATGCTTTGCTATGGTAAGTGTTGTTCAAACAGCAGTTGTGAAGTAGTCACCAAAGTACTCTTGTTTCTTTCCTTTTCTTTTCTTTCAAAGACAGTCTTTCTTTTAAGTGTTCAAAGTATTTGATCTGTTTGATACTGCCCCCCCCCCCCCCAGGATTAGAGGGGGAGGGGCAGGGGAAAGAGCAGTATTAAAAAGATGGACCAACTTTCCAACATTTATTATCAAAAGTTAAAATCTTATTTTCTCGTGTGATATTCCCCTCTTATCTATTTTCATAGATAGAAAAAATGTTTATCCATGTGTGAAATGTATATCAGCCTTACCTTTGTAATTATATTTCTTATTTGCTATTCCCTTCCTTCCCAGGCTATTTTCATCTTCAGTCTGGTGGAATACAAACCTCTGAAGTACAATGATGTTTACGTGTACCCCTGGTGGGGATACATGATTGGCTGGATGATGTCACTTTCATCCATGATCTGCCCTCCGACTTACTTCTGCTATCAACTCATCTTCAACAGCAAGGGTTCTCTCAAAGAGGTGAGACAATATTTCTGTATTATGTGGTTGTAATGTAGGTTTAGATAAGGTTTAGGGTTAGGGTCAGGTATGAGGTAGGCCCTCTCATCCAATTATAGGTCTTTCATGATGCTTCTGCTATAACTCATCTTCAACAGCAAGGGTTCTCTCAAAGAGGTGAGACAATATTTCTGTCGTATGTCAGAGATGTAAGGATAGGGTTGTAATGTAAGTTTAGATAAGGTTTAGGGTTAGAGCTATAGGGTCAGGTATAAGGTTGACCCTCTCATCCAATCATAGGTCTTTCGTGATGTTTCTGTTTTAATAACAATACATTTATAGAGCGCAGAAACTATCCAACATTAAGTATATATTCTACTGCGCTACAAGAGCTCCTGATATGCTTGGATTTACAGTTAATTGAAAAGATGTGCTTTCAGTTTTGATTTAAAGATATTCACAGATGATGATTTCCTTACTTCAGCTTATCTTGAACAGCAAGGGATCTCTGAAAGCATTGAGGTCAATCTGACATTTGATCCGGGTGTATAAGATATTGGGTTTCAGATTAGATTTAGAGTTAGATAAAGGGTTGGCCCTCTGATTCATGATCTAAAATTCGGGCAAGTGTTCCTTTATATCAGTTATAAGTCTGAAAAGCAATCATTATAAATGTGCAGAGGTGTGATGTTTATCATGCTCGAAAGAGAACGTCATATACCGGTACCATATCTCAGACCCAGTCACTCGATCAGACCCAATCACTGTGCAACATACCTGATACATTCATGTCAGACTCTATCAACATACTGATATAGCTATGGCAGGTATCCCTTACAAGTCATCAGTACTTGAAGGTAAGATAGGGAGCATGAGCTGATAAACATAGTATCAGTGATCTTGTATGTGCAGGCGCCACCCAACATACTTTGTAAGCTAGATATGATATCTCATAACCGACGTCATGTGTCTCTCATTTCCCTAGGCAAGAAAAAATTTCTATGTATGTGACTCCTGGAAAGCAGGCCGGGGTTCTTATCGGTCACCATTTTGACCTTGTTTTGTGTGAACTATAGAACAGGACTAACTACGGATGGATGCTCAGAAAATGTCTAATAGAGTCTTAGAAATGATTTATGAAAGGTTTCAATACATCTTGTTTAAAGGCCCACTGTACTACTTGTAGCTTCTTGCTCCCTCATAGAGAAAACAATGCCTAATCGGTGACCATTGGTCCCCCATGATCCTCTTTTTCTTATGTTAATTGAGAACTGAGTTGATGAGATAACCACCTGTCAGTGACCTTCCTGGGTGGTCTAATCCCTTCTAGCCAAACTAGTGCAGATGGGCTTTAATACATCTTGTTTAATATATATCTCTCCCTCTCTCTTTTTCTCTTGTTTATTATCTTCAGCGCTGGACGATGTTGACCACTCCCAGGCTGACCCACCTGAGGAGCAACGATGAGGTCGTTGAGGAGGTGCCAGACCTGGAGATGATCAAGGTGGATGCGCACGGTGAGAACGGAACCAGCTTTCCACCTTCCTATGACGAGGTCACAGAGAACAATGGCAATGCCAACATGCAAGATGTGAACCTCAATGTATAAGACACCTTGTAAAACCATTTCAATGTTTAAAGATGGTGGGGTGGGAGATGTACCTGAATAATGGAGTAACTTTTAGAAATACACCTGATAGCAGGTTCTTCTGATAGTGCGTGCAATCAATCCTCTGCAAGTCCAGGTGGACAACAGATGGGTCTTACAAAATGCTCAAAGTCTGTAAAACTTAAACATTTAAAAACATGCCTCCCCCCCCCCCCCCCAACCTGGCACCACAGTTTACAATGTAAATGCATCCAATGACTTTAAAAATGCCCCTTATATGACTAAGGGCAATTCTCAAAATGGTTTTAATCCAAAGCAAATCTGAACTTTCTTTGAATAATCAAATGGAATGATGGTTTAGGAGGGGCCGCCATTGTTTCTATATCTCTATATGCAGTATCATAGATGTAAATGCATGAATAGTCTGGTCTAAATGAACCACAAGATAATGCCCCCAGGAACTCCCCCTCGTCGGTTTAAGTTTGAAGAAGATATAGAGAAGTGTCATATAATTCAAGAATAAGAACAGGTTGTGCTTTGCTCAGGCAGGGATAAAGGTACCTATTGATTATTAATTATGCAAGCAGAGCTTCCGTAGTATGTAGTATATACTGTAAAGTATGTGATTGTTATAATAATGGCAGTACTTTTACTGAAGATTCTGTAGAAAAACTGAAGTAGGATCCTGTTCAGTATTTAAATTTTATTGAAATGGGAGAAATTTTGGAGATACATTATAGACATCAATCGCAGTCAATTATTCCATACTTTTAGAAGGGAGGGATCTTTTATTAGTTTAGCAACTCTCCCCATTTTAAAATTTTGAAGTAATCAAAGCAATTAAATGGCAATGAAAAGTATGTACATTTTTTTCTCAATATTTGCTAATATTATCCCCTTGTACAGGGAAGTGAACTGTACTAGCAGACTTTTATGTACTGATCAATTTGCTACTTTTATTTGTTAAAGTACTACAGGGTACTCTCAGAATCTTCTTTGGGAAATGTTGAACCAGTTGACTGCCGAAATCTCTCTTTCCCATACGCCTCATAGAGGAAACTACCCGTTTCCCATAGGCAAAGGGTTTAATGGGAGGGATCATAATTTGTACAGGAACAGATTCCTGAATATTTATAGAATGAAGCAACTCTGGCAGATTCTGCCTGTAATTAAATGATTGATGAGGTTGATCTTTCTTGTCAAAATATATGGAAATCGATCGGAAATGCAGTTTTAAAAACGGGAATGTGGTAATATTAATACACGTAATGTGGAAATTATACATTGAATATGGATGAGGAGGTTACCCAGTAGGTCACAAGCACACTGCATCTGAAGAAAGGATGATATGCAGTGCAATTTTAAGACAACTCAATGAACTCATTGCTGTGTATAAATGAAATAAATCATGTAATATGATCGTTTCTGATGATTTCTGAAATGGCAAATAAGTTGTGTATTTTTTGTATATATTTGATGGTTGTATACTTTAGATTTATAATAAGAGACATGTCATTGTATTATGGTTTCTCGTGATGTCTTGTGAAACCGGCTTTTAGACATTTCTGTTAATCTGATAGTCGTAAGTAAGGGTGTAAGAAGTATTTGTACAAACTTTTATCTTTAAATATCATCATGGAGTCAATTTTTTAGGTCTTTTAAAAGATACATGCATTTACAATATTGTAATTACTTTTAAAGATTTTTAATGATTTACAATAATAATGTTCACTAACTAGGTTGTTGTCAGTAACCACATATATGACTAAAGCAGGCACGATTTATGTTGAGCATGTTCAGTAGTACAAAACATATCATGAATGTGTACCTTTTTGAATTGGTAAGGTTGCAACAGATTTGAATATAAGTGTATTTTCATAGAATTGTCATGTTTTGGAGGCTGTTAAGAATATTATGAAGACTTTACCTCATTCCAGATTACTTATAAGGAGGAATCCCCAAAACCATTGTGATACATGTCAATACTTTCACTTTTCTCTATTCTTTACGATCTAATTCTTCCTCGTTAAAGAAAGAACCAAAGAAATTAAAACACTCCACCTCTTATTTTTTCACTATAGGTGAAAGAGAAACAGAGATAATGTGTGAAATGATCTGTGGCTTGAGTGCTCTTTGTTCAGCACAAACACCTAGTACATATATACCTCCCCAGGATCGATTATTCGAAGCAATCTCACTGCCTTGAGATACTGTGTAGGTTGTCTTTACTTCTTTCAAACGCTAAGCCATCCAATTTTCTCACTAGTTCAAAACATGAGCCACAAAACTTTCCAATATCAAAGTACTTCTTTTACACCTTCACTTTTGCTTACAAGGCTCAACGCTATGGGGTGGGGTCACCAAATTTTCACTCTGGACACCAACATTTCAAAATGTGTTTTTTATTTGCATCTGCAAAAATTGAAAATTAACACGGGGCTCATACATACAGACCCTAAAATGGCAACCCTACCGTGTGAACAAAAATGTGTGTAGAGCCCTGCTTTTATAACGGAACAAGAATTCACTCATGCAGCACTACATGTAGCCTTGAAGCTTTTAAGACTTCTTCACCAAGTCAATGGGTAACTCTTGCCATGGTTCCGGAAATAATCCATCTTTCATAAATCAGATCAGTATTTGAAATGTTCTCTCATGTGCATAAATCTCTAAATAATCTGCATTGGATTTTTTGTTTAAAGGAGGGGATTGGAATTCAGATAGGCATGCGAATTTTAAGACAAGCTATTAGGAAGGAGAAGAGAAAAAAAAACATGTAACGCTGTTTCCCAAAGTCATTGTTCAAGTCTTTCTCCTGATGACGTGTGCAATGGTACATATAGGATTTGTGTGATTGATTGTATATAAAAACTTATTCATGGAATGCAATAGCCTTTTCCACCTCAAAAGGTTGATTCCTGTGGATTGTAGAAGGCTGTGAAGTTGATTCATTCAGCAAATAAAAATCTCTTTAGCAGGGGATGTAAGCTCATTCCCAGTCATCGGAACAGTTAGCCAGTTCTACATAATATCAGACCTGCCAACCTCTGTAGTTCAAAAACTGTATTCTTTAGTGTCAAAAGTTGTATTTTACTGACAAAAGTTGTATTCTTGAAAATAAAAACGGATTGTTACGCGGATCAATGCCTCTTACAGTTTCTACCTACAGGAAGAATTTTTTTTTTTAATGATCATTGGTTGAATATGCATTATTTCATCACGACTGGTGTGTTCGATGAACCAATAAACATCCCCAAATTGCTGATGTGAGATGCTTGTAGGATACTTTAAAGGACAGAATGGACATTTTGCCATTGAAAATGGCGGACGCACACACAAAATATTAATAATTTTTTTTGTTTTTTCGAAAATCGTATTTTATTAAGGAAAATCGTACTGTCGTATTTGCTTCTAAAAATCGTACTAAATACGACTAAATCGTACTGGTTGGCAGGTCTGTAATATGTGCAACCAAGACTAGCAGTCGCATATAATTACTCCGAAGCTAGCTCCTGGCTCTGATGAGAGATATATTACACTTTGAAACAAAGGGATATATTTATACATTTGACACCCATGGTGTCGTGTTTGTTCTAGAATGTACTTTCTGATTAGTGCTCATCAGATTTAAAGTGTATATAATGCAGACTGCATAGAGTTTGGTGTGAATATTAATGTCTTTATGTGATCAAAGAAATTTTGAAGTTACATGCAAGCAGTATACGAATGTCGCCCTCTCTGTGTTTGTGAGCCGTGTAGTTGTGAAGTCCGTACAATGTGTCTAGTATTGTGAACTGTGTAGACTAGTAAGCTGATGTCTGAGCAGTTCCGTCCAGATCAGATCAAGCAATAAAGACCTGTCGTTTCCCCTTGAAAGCATACCAAAGTCTTTTGAAGAAGTAGAGGTAGAATCTGTAGCTTTACAAAGAACATTATAAAGAGTATATGAAAATCCAAAAGTAATGAGCTACTGGGGCATCTTAGTCACTGTCTTTCATTTTGGCACAAGAATCTTACATAGATAAGATTCATTCATAAACTTCATGAACGAACATTAGCAAATTGCTTCTCATACAACCTACATCTCAATTATTATTACTGCCAAATTTGTTCTGCAGTATATGTCATTGTTGGATTAACTAGGTTTATATCAGCAAACCAAAGATAGTGGAGAGTGATCATCACTAAAGACAGATGTTAAAGAGCCATCTGTACAATGCTTGTTTGTAATTCTATTTGCTAAATAATAATGTAATAAGAGAAATATAAAAAATAACAGGTGGCAGGTGTTCTTGAAGAATGAAGAGATTGAAAATGGGCTTTCAAGCAATCCGTTTGATCCTTTATAATCTGAAATCAAATAATGGCAATTTGAAAAATGCAGTTTTTGATATTAGCATTGTCTATTATGCAGAGCTTTTTTTATTCATATTTAGTGCAGTGAGAATTTACTGACTATATATATGTGGATGACAGAGTTTTATATGATGTATGTATATGAATAAGCTTTATATTAGTCTATTTTTAAAAGTCCTTCTTCTTTCATGTACCCCAAGTCTTATCATTTGCATTATAAATACCCCACAGCTTTCTATTACAAAGAACAATACTGTATAGTTGACTGTGCATGTGTATCTTATTAATATCTTTAGCAATCTGATGTCCTTATAATGCCAACCATTGCTTTTGTCAAAATTAAAATTGTTGTACGTCAACATTCATCTCAAAAGGACTGAAATGTACAATTTCCATCAGACGTAGACAGTTATAACTTAAAGAGAGTATTAGGTATGCTGTTATTTACAACATCAAAACCATTGTCTTTAATTTTTGTTTATATGAAATGTAATCAACTCTGTTTTCATTTCAAATGAATTCTCTTGCTCGAATGAAAAATATATTATTTCTTCTCGCTACATTTAAGACCCATTGGAATTGTTTCTCATGAATAAATTCATTTTACCATATGCAAGTTAAAATGTGTTCTTTCATATTTTTATGTATAAAGTTTTTGCAAAGAATGTTTGCCTTTAATGTAGAGAGCCAGAAGGGCATTAACTCTGGCTTGAAATATCTCAAACATGAACACTTCATCACCATTTTAAAAACCTTTCAAAATTATACATTTTTACCCAGATTCCACTAAAGCTATATTGCAGTATATTAACTAAACTGCATTTTGCTGCATTCATGTTTTAAAAATAAATTTCAATAAACTATACCTCTCTTTTCTGCATATTATTTCATGCTTGCCCATTTTAAAATACAAACTCCATATATTGCATTACATAATGGATCCTCTTAAAATTGTGGAAAAATTTAGGTTGGTTTACCGCATTTCAGCCTATTGTAAAATGTTTCCCTTTTATAGTTAAAAGAAACAATTTTGCAATCGATTCGTCCATTCATTACACAACACAATGAAAGTAAAATGCTACGTCTTCCAATATTTGTAAAATTATTGTTTCTAAATTTATTTGTGATCTCTAATACACTAATTTCTCTTACAACCTTTCCTATGACTTCATCACAGAAATACATAAAAACCTGCCATCAAATTTCATAGTATCACATTCACTCAGCAAAAATACAATAATATATATACACTGTAGTTATAAATTTTCATGAGCCAGAGAAATATTGCATGAAGTGTTAAGGTGTCAAACTTGTCCGAGATTTGAGCTATATAAATAGTGAATGCAAATAAATATAATCACTTGAAAGCAGGCATCTAAAGTAGGATGTCAAGATCGTTGCTCATTATTGACAACTTGTAGTATAATACAGGCAAAGGCCTTCAACTAGAAATATTGGAGCACTAATTTAATATGAAAACAATTAATTGTTAATGATATATTTCGATCATTTACTGATCAAAATGCAAATTCTCATACTCAAATTTTGGAGAGCAATGAGGCAAAAGCGCAACAAGATTTTCAGGTAATCTGCTCTCTCGGGGTAGTATGATTCTGAATCAGATCGATTAACTCAATTTTTTCAAAATTATCCAAGTGATTTTACCATCACTTTTGTAAAAAAAGTCTTCATACCGGGGATGTGCATAGCGTCTTAAGGGGGAGAATTGATTTGAAGAAGTAAAAAAGCCTGAATAAACATTCTCCGCTGACACTTTTGGATCATCTTACTATTTAGGGACCACCCAAAATGCTATGAATGATAAATAAATCAGATCACGAAAGTCCAAGTTTATTGATCATGATAACTGTTGATATTCTTGTCAAAAATGCCTCTATGATATTCTTCTACTAAAAAGATACTAATACATTCACTCTAAAATAAGAATTAAATCTGATTTAATCTGCTATCATGATGATTCCAATGTCTGCTCAATCCATGCTTGGAGTTTATCCAGCTCATCTTTATTCATCTCATGGTAGAGTCTGGGATATCTCTGGAACTGGCAGGTGACTCCAGCCCTGGTCAACTGGTCCTTTGTAGTCTCGCCCCACTCATAGAGGACCAATGGATCAACCTGCCCATGGCACTGGAACAGGGGAGGCCTTCGGGAATCGGGTGATGCAAGATCCTGAAACAAAATAAAAAGTGCAGAGATACATTTATCGCATCTAGAACATGTTTGCAGTGAGGAGTCTTTCTAATGACTATTTATAAAGGGAATTCAGAACTATAATGAGAACAATTTCATTAAATTTTGCATAGATCTACTCAACATCAATAGTTACACACATTTCATAATATAATGGTACTTTTAAAACAAAAGATTCATCGTGATAAATGGCTGAATTGGTTAAAGCAGAAAAGTCTCCCAATATACCAATTATATATATACTTTGCTTTCTAATTTGCAATGACATTTTAAACTGGCAAGATGGATATGACTTATTTGAAGCTTACTACTTCTATGCAACACTGGTGTGATTGCTGTTGATATAATGTGAGGCTGGTTAGAACAAGGATGAAGAATAAAAAAGCTTTCTAACAAACGTGAATATGATACTGAAATTAAAGTTTAAGTTATAAAGTATACATGAAATAGCAGAGACTGATATTAGATTCCATATATGAATGTAGTCTTTTTCTCAGGATATAATATCATTGTTGATCATTCCAAACTGAGGGAATGAAAATAATAAATGCCAAAAATAAATTCGCCCCTAATATTGTGTTACACCAGAGGACTAAGTTTGCCAATAGCAGCATATTGAAGTGATGTAATATATTTCTTTAATGTCTGAAATACTAATCATTCTGTGATGTGTATGTTTTGTGTCTGAAGTGTAAATAAAGTCTACTTTGTATGCGCATGTGTTGTAATGGATTAAATAATTATGTATTCAAAGTATATTGCCTCCATTGTGACTTGATGTTGGTATTACATTAGGTTAGAGATAAAAGAATATTGATTTAAATGTATAACTTCACACAAAGAGATACAAATATAATACAAATAAATGAAAAAATACCCCAGAAGTAATCATTACTTATATACACTATATGTATATTGACAAGTCAACAAAGAAATCAATTTGCAGGATCAATACATTAAAGTCACACTGTCCTACTTGTAGCTACTTGTTCCCTCTATATCAAAAACTTCCCCAATCGGTGCCTGTTGGTCCCCCATGATCCTCTTTTTCTTATGTTAAATGAGAGCTGAGTTAATGAGATAGCCACCTGTCACATTGACCTCGCTGGCTCACTGAGCGGTCTAATCCCTTCTGGCTGAAGTAGTAAAGCCTGCTTTTAAATGTCAACCTAGTGCTTCTTCTCTCCTGATGATTGTTAATTTAATTTGAAAATAGGTTTTAACACTTCACAAAACTTCTAAGAAACACAAGAATAATTTAGTTTTCAAGTATTTCAAAGATGATTATGATAATACAGAAGTATAACAACATGCATACAAATGTCAGAAATGAGAGAGGGAGGCAAAATCATAGTGAAGAGAGAGAAAGATAGAAGATATGAAAATATACAAAATAAATATAGAGATACAAGTGACATGCATTGATTGGGTGAAACAGAAGTCAGATAATGACACAGGGAATGGAATAGTCAACTGCTACAAACCAAGGTATAGAACAATTCTGTTTGGAATATGCAAAATATGAAGAATATATTATTAATCATCCATAACTGTAAAAAAAAAGAAAAATGAAAAGTACATACATCAACCCTCAAGTCTATTAAATGAAAGATACAAACCTGATAAACTTTGGAGTTGTTATTGAGGAAAGCTGATAGCGCAAACACTCCTCCTAGCTCCCTTTGGAATCTATATGCCACATGCAAGGCCAAGCAGCCACCCATCGAAAATCCACCTGTCAAAAAAAAAAAAAAATCAAAAGAAAAAGAAAAAAATATTTTAAATGTATTTTTCCAATTACAGTACTTGAAATGAGGGAGGGAAAGACAGGAATAGGCATATTCCTACAGCACAGTAAACTCCCCTTCTTAGTCTGGTGCAAGATTTTGCATAAATTGACATCTACTGGCTTTGATACTGACCCACAATGATTTTATTCCTTGGGATTCCCTGGTCCACTTCTTGCTGGATAACCTTGCTAATCTCTTCACACATAGGATCAACGCTTTCTAGGTCTTCAGGTGCATTCTGTGATATCTGTTTACGATCAAACCATACAGTGCTAGGAGCCCCATTCATCGGAGTGTAAGGTCTGTGGAAAGGAAATATGACATTATGATAATTGATATTAAAAAGTATACCAAACATCACAACATAATAATGACAGAAATAATCTAAGATTACTCTTTAACACGATTCACGGTGCACTTGTCATGATATGAAGGATTACATAAGGGTACAGTATAGTCATAGGTATTCCAATCTGAAGAAAAAAAATTAATTGTATGCACACATACTTCTGCTTTTTAAAAATTTAAAAAAAAGAAAAAGACCCACAGGCAGCTTGTGGGCCATTTTTTGTTGTTGTAAGATGACAGTGACAAGGCCAGTGCAGCTCAAAGAATATATTAGTACTAATATCAGAAGTATGTGTGCTTGTAATCTAGCCTTTGTAGATTGACTGGCTGTACATTTCATGATTAACAGGAAGGCACTGTTGAACATTTAAATAACAGTCTCTTGTGATCAGAGAATCACAGGATAAATTTTAAACATAAAGGCATGAGAAATCATTGCAGTCTAATAGTTTCTTACCTCAGGGGAGCAGAAGGGAAGATGACTTTTGAATGTGGTAGGCAGAATTTTCTCCCAAGTATACTGAACAGCCATTCCTGCAATCCTTCTGATGTGTCTCCTACATTCAATTCAAAATGATAGAGAGAAGAAGAACACAAAAAAGAATTTGTTCAGATGTAAATATTTCTTCTCAATTCCCCTGAAAGTTATTTAAAAGGAGGTAGAAAAATTAAGTCTCACTTATATTTAAAGTTATTTGAAAATTTTAAATTTCATTTTGGAATATTGTTATCACTCTTATTTCCTAGACAACCCTGTATGGATGGGTGTTTCACATTTGTTTTGCAGTATACTGAGCTATATGTTGTGCACATGGGAAATGATAGGAAGAAAATAAAAAGTTAACAAGTACAAGGAGTGTAAACTAATAAAATAATCTCTTGGCAATCAATCACTGAATTAAACACCGGGGGGGGCGTTTCATGAAACCAACTCCATGACAGTCATATCTTTGTCTGCGACCTACGGAGATGTCATGAAGTGGATAAACCGTTTCACAAAGCCATGACGGACATGATATCGATATATCGCAATACTAGCAGCTCAAGAACATAGTCTTTGTCACAATCCATTTGATTTATCACGAATAACCCAAAACAAGTTTTGGGGCTAAAATTGTTCAAAAAGAAACATATACATAAACTCTCCTAAAATAAATAACAAAAACCTGCCTAGATAGGTCAATGGCCTTTTCTGGTCCCTCACATCCTTACTCCACCCATTAATCATTTTTAGTGTTACTGTTGTTGTTTTATTTTGTTGTTTTATTTGTTCTTACTATATTCTATATATGTTGCATTTTGTATAATTGTATTTGAATGTTATAATGATGTAAGTTTTTATTGGATGTGAAATAAACTGAACTTGAACTTGATTATCAAATGTAGATCATCAAACGATTTGCATATTTCTGTAAAGGTTCTTAAGTTAAAGAAAAACCGGTGAGTGTTTTTTTCTCAACAATCCAATCAAAAGGTAGTTGAAGGATATCGTAATGTGAGTTTATCAATACCGGGTACATACTTTTTTGTTTATTGTTTAGGGAATTTAATCACCTAAATAAAAGAAATAGAAATAGATTTCTTTCCTACCTTGTCTCTTAGAAACACCTGTTGAGTATAGATACTTGGAACATTATATTATATCACAAGTAGTAGTTCAAATATTGCACAGCACCCGTAGAAAGAATATGTAAGACCATGTACAAAGTAATGACGCTTCTTTGCGAATTAAGTAAGGAAGAAGAAACTTATAATCTCTATAAAGTAATAAGGCCTCAGAACCGAGTAGAGAAACAAGCGAAGAAATAGGACAAGAATTAAGATGAAGCTGAATTAGCTTTGCTGTAGATCAACTCAAGACTCTCTAGAATATGTGTGCTCTATATGAATAGCTCAGGAGAAGTGATGAAAAAAGGTGTGGCAAATAAAGCAAGCAAGTGTAATGTGCCTTTTTAAGCTATACCACTAGGTGGTTGCACATCCCAACCCAGGGCCCCCCAAAAAAATTAAAAAAGGAAAAATATTTCACTAAAAGATAAATTTAAAGAGAGGGGGGGGGGGGGGGCCCCCAAAAAAAATTAAACTAAAAGATAAATTTAAAGAGAGGGGGCCAAAATATTCAAAAAGGAAAAAATATAAAAAAGGAAAAATATTAAAAAAGGAAAAATATTAAAAAAGGTAAAATATTAAAAAAGGAAAAATATTAAAAAAGGAAAAATATTAAAATAGGGTCTAAAAGATGAATTTAATCATTTAGCCAGCTTTATTCATTAAAACTCAAAACACCCCCTCAATTATACTTCGGTGAAAGAAGCCCCACTACCGTGCTGTCCGTCTTAAAAATGCACAGGATGGGGCCTTGTTCACGAGTATATAGTATAGTCGTGATACAGGCCCCATGTCCGTGTTGTAGAACATGCAATGCCGTTGCGCGGGGCCTATATCACGAGTATATATAGCGAGTTGAATAGGAGACTCGTATAGTATACTCGTGATACAGGCCCCGCGGCTGTGTTGAAGTGCGCGCGAAGCCGTTGCGCGGGGCCTCGCGATCACAAGTATAGAGTAGAGTCTCCGGTTTGCGGCATCGCCCGGTTTGCGGCCAGGGGTATTTGTTTTAAAAATAAAATGAATATGACTCGATAATAATCATTGAAACCTACCGTGGATTCCACAGTAAGTTCTGCTTTGCCGAAAACGTCCGTAGCAGGTGCTCCTGTCGGTACGGAGTATCCGTCAGCGATGTCGGAAATCTACGGCACCAGTCGCCGATGAAAATTCCAGCAGGTGCTAACTTTTAAGTTAAGAGATCGAGGCATGACTAGATCAATATTGTAGCTCTATTTGTCCGATATTTGTCCGATTGGAGGTGAAATTTGATGTTTTTGTGGAAGTATGATGGCTGTGGTCTGTCTCCTATCGCAGATATTTTGATTGTGCCACCGCATGGCCAGTTGCATGGGGTGGCCGTAAACCGGCACGTAATTACGTGTTTTTTCTGGTTTGCGGCGGGGGGTGTTAATACACACATAACATGCGGGATCGTGTATGATGGTATGTGTGCTGATGTGTGTACCCGCTATGACCCGATAGTTTCTAGTAGTACTTACCCCCGGATGGGATGATCCATTCGAGGAAAAGGTGAAATTGTTTAAAACTTGACAAATTTACCGTAGCAACAGATAAACATGAGAATTTGGGTTACCCGTAGTAATTTGGTACATGCTTTCATCGTGACGTAGCGCATAAAGCTTTGTGACGTACGCGTGCCGCAAACCGGTAATGCGTGCCCGCAAACCGGGGAACTCGAAGCATTTCGAAACGTGGTCAATGCTGACCACGCTGTGGGTCAGTTAGGATATTTGTGACTTCTATTTAATAAGTAAGTATATGGACTCTTTATTGAGGGTATTGAAGTATTCTGTGAGTATTCCAATAAAAATAGAATCGGCAGTTCCCGCCAATCGGCCGCAGACCAGAGCCACTACTCTAGTTGGCTGAAGTAATAGAAGTCTAGATCTAGTATAAAATTATAATCAATTCAAAACAGTTGCGGGGCCTATATCACGAGTATGCCAGAACGGGATAAGACCCAGATAATAATCCTTCCCCTGGATTGCTCAATCTTTCCCTTTCTAAAAGTTGACCCCCCCCCCCCCCGAAAAACAGATAAATAACACCCAAAAATGTTAACGTATGGGACTAATGTAACAATTTTACGATCAGTATCAGCGTTATAAATTGTGCTATTTCAATTCCTAGTTCTTAATACTTACCAGAACCATGAAGAAAAATTATGCTCGATAAATGTGAGCGTGAAGCGGGGATAACATCTAATTTCAATCTCGCTAAAGCTGTCATTTTGAAAGTGTTCAGATTTGGTAGCAGCCTGCGTTGTGCGGTAACTTTGCTGAATCTGACAAGCACAAAGTCAGTTTCGAAGTAAGGTGTTGCTGAACAAGCAAACAGGGAGAAAATAAATTTCTCTGACAATATGATTACAAATAATATTGTATGAATAAAGAGTAGAAAGCTTTCAATTTGAGGATAAATGTATGAATTTCTCTCAATTGAGATTATTTTTATTAACCATCTATTTATTAAAACATATTCATACAGTAAATATAACATGATCAGCATAGTTTTCCATCGATCAAAAGGACATTAAAAAATAATTAAAAAAAAAAAAATAATAATAATAATAAAAACACATTTTAAATAGAGTTTAAAAAATCAGGAATTCACAGACTCATAATACAATAGTATATTGAAAACATAATGGAAATGAAAGACAGAAAATACAAAAAAATAAGGAGTAATTAGGAAGGAGAAGAAGCAGAAGGAGTACGTAGAAGAAAAGAAGAAGAACAACAACAACAACAACAACAAGGAGAAGAAGGAGAAGAAAAAGAACAAGAAGAAAAAGAAGGAGAAGAAAAAGAAGGAAAAGAATTAGGATAGAGAAGAAGAATAAGGAGGAGGAGATAGAATTGTTTTTTTGTTTGTTGTTGTTGTTGTTGAACATGTTTTGTTAATGAACATCATATTAATGGATGAAGCATTTTCGAGTGAATCAGGGGAGATTGTTCCCCCGCCCCCCCCCCCCACTCAGTGTTATTTAGGGTATGCTTATGCTAATTTTTTATAAAAATTCCCTCTTTTTGAAAGCACCCCCTATCTGAGGACTGCCAACATTTCCGAACCCCCCTTTCGCGGGCTTTTCGCGGGCTTTTCCTGCCTTGGAGACCCCCCTAAATACGGAAAAATGCTCAATGTACCCCCTAAATTCTGAATAATTTCCCAAGAGTCCAAAGAGATGAGAGAAAAAAAGAAAAACACCCCCTTTTTAAAGAAATATGCGGGTAAAAAGTCAAATACACCCCTTTTTTAACTATTCTCGGGCGGACTTTGTCGCACTGTGAAAAGTACCCCTTTACCGGACATTTTGGTAACACACATGCGGTCATTCCGACCCCAGAGTGGGGGGGCCGGGATTGTTCCATACCCGGTTGAACCCGAAAATCCTTAAATAACTTTAGTTTAAACTTTTAAACATCAAGTTCGGGGGAGACAACATTTGAGTATAAGTCGTAAATCATGCTGATCGATCATCAATCGTTTATGTTCATTTACTTTGAGCTAATCCCTTTAAACATCTTCTAATAATTGCTAAGAAATAATCCTGTTGTTGTTCCAGGAAGCTGTAATGAATGGAGATCCCGTCCAAGATGCCCCTTTGAAGCCATCCGTGGCACCGCGTGTCTTTTGTTTCCCCTATCGTAATCCCCTTAATCCCCCTCCGAAACCGTACAGCTCCATAGTAGCACTAGGTCCTCCCTTTCCACACACATCCCAGCCCAGCGAGCACGGCGGCTTTTGCTTTGTGGGCCCGTATTTGGGGTGAATAGTGGTGATAACTTGACAACTTCTAGCCCTCAATCAATAAATGCGCAAGCATATAAAACAATTTCATTTAGTTCTTTAGGAAGATAAACCTTTAGACTACTTTCCTAGCTATGTACAAATTTCGGAAATTTTCGGAAAATATCAATAATTAGATGAGAAAATCATGATGATGAAAACCTTTCATTCGCTCTAACTCACGATTTTCTTGGTCGATTTCGCTGGTTGAAATGGCCATGCATTCAGTAGAGCTATCGGAGAACAGAAAAAGCATTTGATGACTAATATAAAGTTGCAATGGTCTTATGCTGTTAATTCTGTATTTTATATGTTATAGCTAAATACATCTTCACTGAACATGACTTAATTTTTCGGTGCCACGCATGGCTTCAAAGCTCGATGCTTGCATATTTGCAAAAGAGTGAATAGAGAACTTAGGGAAGCAGATGGCGTTACGTAACATTTCGTACTATTTGGAATTCCAGAGAAGGACTGTGCATTGATATGGACAGCTGTTGATGGAAATGAAGGTTGGAGAGGGTTACATTTCTTTTTGTTAAGCCAGGTTAATCTTGAATATTTTTCCCTCGGAAAATTCTTTCGAAACGGTATCTCCATTCATTACAGCTTCCTGGTTGTTCAATAGTTAGAATTTTGTCTGTATTAATTTGTCAATACTATTTTGGTGAAATGTTCTTTTCACACGTTCATCTCCGACCTTCATCCCAGGGCAGCAGGCATCCTGCCATTGAAAATACATTTACATGTATGATACATTCATATACTGCAGACTAACAACTCAATAAAAGAGAGAGAGAAAAAGAAAGAGGGTGGGGCCCGAGAGAGAGAGAGAGAGAGAGAGAGAGAGAGAGAGAGAGAGAGAGAGAGAGAGAGAGGGAGGGAGAGAGAGAGAGAGAGAGAGAGAGAGAGAGAGAATTAATGGTCTTTTTTTTCCCCCTCTTATTAGAAGCAAAAAAAATACCAAACCAAAATGTTTCTGTCTTGAGGAGACTTTTTTATCCACGCACATCCCCACTCTTGTACAGGTCGGCACTCCCTTGTTGATGAGAATAAATTGATGGCAAAATACAACAAAATCAAGATGTAAGAAATTGATATGGTTCAGTGCTTTAATCACGGTGGTATTGGATGGTTGCTTCAGCTTAGTTCAGTAATTGTCGTTATTGCGCATGCTCTGTTCAATTGCCGTGACAACAAATTTTGTCTTGAACACTCATAACCCAAAGAAAAGGCTAGAATTTTGAGCTTTTGCAAGTTTAACATGTGGAACCAAGGTATGATTTTGTTAATTTGAATTTTAATAATCATAAAAAGCAAAGTTTCCTTGTCTATCGAATTATTTCAATGTAGTTTTGAACGTTTTGACATCGCTGATTATTTGGCGTCTGTTCAAGTCTGTGTTGGCTGCTATGCAGTTTGGAATGTTGGAGTTATGAACAGTGGAGCTGCAGTGCAGTGATCGCCGCCAATCTCTGTAACTGTAAGTGTGTGTGTGTCGTCCCGCCGCGGCCCTGGCGTAGCGCGTAGGCACCGAATCGGAGGAGTTGGTACTGACTGACACTCACTGACTGCAGCTGCACTAACTTGTTTCTGGTTGTGTTCATGCATGGTGGTTACCCGTACAGTGCTGTATAGTAAAACATGCCCATTATTCTGTCACTTTATGGGAAACCACTCTTATTTTGAATTGAATATGTACTAGGGTGTCTGATCGCGCACCCGATGTTATGTGCTAAAATTCTCCCCATACTGTAGGGTGTCTGAACGATTTTTCAATTTTCAATTTGGGATCGTTTTTCACCATTTTTGTTGGATATTGGAGTAAAAAATGTAATCAGAATAATACCTTTCAAATTTCAAGACTCACCGATGTTTCTATCAAAAGATACAGCCCCTCAAAAACTGTGCAATATTCATAGCATTTTGGTCAGAATGGACAGAAAAGTGGTTCACGCAGAGTTATAATTTCTGCTCAAAAGCTGCACAGCTAATGCACAGCACGATATGCAAAGCGTGGAGCAAGGGTATTTTCAAACTGTTGTAACAAATGATCCCTTGGGACTAGAGAAAAAATAAGTGCATGGATATATTCTTTACAGCTGGCCCAACTTATCCCTCGGGGGGGCAGTTCGTGAAATTGGTAAATCTCCGAGTTACCATGGAAACGATGTTTAAATCGCTGTTTTGAGCAAGATATATTTAGAATTCCGGGGGTGGCCCCCTATGGGGAATATGGAGAAAAACCTGCTCTTTCATATGACACCACATTTATTGAGTTTCACCTTCAGGATCATTTGTTATAAAGGTTTGAATTTCAAATTTTTCATAAAATCATTGACCAATTTTGCTTGGTCGCGCAATGCATGTAGACCACATAGGGATGTGTGCAATCTCTATGGGAAAGATTTTAGCACACAACATCGGGTGCGCGATCAGACACCCTACCCATAGTAGACTAGAGATTGCACGCATCCCTATGCAGTCTATGTGCATTGCGTGACCATGCAATTCGAGATTCAAACCTTTATCTGTTGCGATCCTGAAGGTGATACTCAATAAATGAGGTGTCGTATGAAAGAGCAGGTGAATTCCAATATTTCCAAAGGGGGTCATCTCGAAATTCTAAAAATATCTTGGTTAAAACAGCGATTTAAACATTGTGTCCTGGCTAACTCTGAGGTTTGTCACTTTTGAGATATGACGCCCGGATGGATAAGAAGTCCCAGTCCTAAGGAATATATCTGTGCGCTTATTTTTTCGCTAACCCCCAGGCCCAGGGGTCACAAAGGATTACAGTTTAACAATACCCTTCCCCCTATTTGTTGGATCAGCTAATTAGGAAGCCGTGCGCTCCGCTCAGTCCAAACCATGGTTACATCGCGTAACATCTCCACGTACGAACGAAACCTGAATGAAAGTACGCGGCTAGCCATACTACCTCACAACCGGAAGGTCATGGGTTCGAGCCCCGGCCGCATCATACCAAAAGACGTTAAACGATGGGAGTTGTTACTTGTTGCTACCTTGTTTGGCGTTCAACAATAAGGGATATAGCAACGTCGATCTGGCGCTTGCTCAGTGGCATCCGGGCTCACGATTAATTGGGCAAAAAGAATTTCTGTTTCGGTTTAATACAATTTGGAGTGGACTATTAAGCTATTATTATTATTATTATTATTATTATTATTACTAGTCAATGGCACATATCGCGGAGACAACGTGGCTCAAGCTGCAAGTCGCGCATTCAGCTTAGCAACATGCATACGCTTGCATATCGCGCGATACAGCTGTTTGGTGAAATTTAGCAAAACAACATAACTCTGCGTGTACATCTTTTTTCGACGATACTGACCAAATCGATATGAATATCACAGCGTTTTGGAGGGGCTGCATCTTTCGATAGAAACATCGGATAGACTTAAAATTTGAAATGTATTATTCTGCTTACTATTTTTTTCAAATATCAAACAAAAATGGTGAAAAACGATCCCAAATTGAAAATTGAAAAATCGTTCAGACACCCTATATGTACCTCCTTTATTTGGCAATCCACCCATCAACAGAAAGGGCGCTGCCGCTGGTCAGTTGAGAAGGGGGGGCTGGTCCGAGAATAAAGCACAAACGATGATCTCCTTTGTAAACACGTCCGCAAAAATACATATATCCAGATTTTCGCAGACGTTTCGTATTTCCGAATCGCGTGGTGGTGATGCGAAAAACAGATTTCGCAATGATTTTCTTGATGCATTTTACATTGACTTTCATTTGTACAGAGGCTTTAACCCATAAAAGTAGACGGGGAACTAGGGGTATTTTATTACGTGAAATCCATTTTTCGTATCGCCAGGGCGCGATTCGGTTCGGTTCGGGAACCCGAAACCAGCAGAGCGCCGATGGAATCAGAAATTGTCCACAATTTGCCCTCGTTTACATGGATATCTGTGAGCGCCCCTACTGATCAAAAGAAAAGAAAATTGGTCCTCTTAGTTTTACTATTCAGCAGGAGGGGCGCTATTTCGAGAATGAGGATCGTCCGCATAAATGTAATTCGTCCTAAAAAATGAGGATAGTCCGCATTTTCGCAGACATTTTTTCTTTGGCGCTGTGCGGGTTCCCGGGTTCCCGATCTGCGCGCTGGCGATGCAAAAAATGGATTCCGCGAAAAAAAATACCCCCAATTCACTGTTTACTTTTATGAGTTGTTCATCTTCCCAAGGATTTGTCATTCGTAATGTAAAAGTCTCTGTAAAATACCTCTTGCCTGTCGGTAGGGGTGTCATTTGCAATCAAACAAACGAATCTGGGTAGATCTCTGATGGATCTAATTACAAATGCTTGTTTATATCTCCATTTGATCCTTTGAGCCATTCGTTCCACCGCAAGTCAATACAATTTATTCATGTGGCAAGTTTAAACTAAGGCTGTACATAAGCGTGTAATGAGGTACTTGAGTACTTGCCCAGGCTTACAGGCGGATACTTGAGTACTCGGCGGCCATTTATTAATTAATTTTTTTTTAATTTAAAATTTTTTTTTTAGACACTGATGTTTGTATAACTTGTATTTTTTTCTTTTTTTTACACTTGTGTTATTTTTATATACATATATGTTTTTTATTGAATGGAATGAATAAATCTTCTATTATGGTGAGCGCCGGCCGGCCAGCGCAGTGCCCGGTGGATGGGCATAAATCGGCACAATAAAAAAAAAAAAAAAGCGGCAGAAAGTACGAGAAATCGTACTTGAGTAAATGTCAACAGTACTCATCGCAGCTTTAGTTTAAATAAGTCAGGAATAGGGAGCACTTGCGGACATCGTTTCAATTTTGTTTCAATTTGATGCTTACTTTATGCTAATAGCGATAATAGTAATGATAATGAAAAGTGTTTATGAAAGGCATAATAATTTGTAGAGTTCTCTATGCGCTTTACTTTTCTTTTTTTAAACAATAATAATACATACCATCGTACATTGTATTGGAACATAAAATACATGGATAAATAGGAGCAATCATGCGTTTAGTGTAATATGCGCTTGCAGGGAGGTACATGTATGCTAAATTCAGCAAACTCTGTATAACGAACTTGGTACACGTACTAATTGCTATTATTAGCAATTATTAGTAAGTATTAAATATGCTTATTTGATTTCCCCCATTTATTTTATACATGTAATACATCTGTATTTTTTCCTAGTGGTTGATATACATTTCGACCACTAATTTTAATTAAATTGGTATTGTTGTTACTGATTGAAATATTCCTGGAAAAAAGGAATTGCCATGACAATATTGATTTTCGTTGTCCATGTCTTGAAGCCAGTTTGCGACATAATTGCTGTGGTTTGTGGCCTCGAGTACAAACTCAGTTTTGAGTTCACCCATGCATATTAAATGCATGCACATGCTGAACAAATATCCCAGGGTAGTTTGTCTCATGCGATCCATCCACAAACCATGGCGGCGGTATCGAGACATTGAGATTGGAAATTGATCGCAACACATGTAATAATAATAATAAAATTTGGTCCTTATATAAAGTCTCTATGCACTTCCAAAGAGCTTAGGAAGTTATTAGCCGTACGATCAGACAGACTTGTAATGCAAAAAAATCCTGATCTAAAAATGAAAATTTCTTTAAAGATGGCATAGTTTTAAAAAACCATATTCTGTCCTGTGTGTCAGGTCCATGTCGTAATATGGCATTGAAAATGTGAGATTCAAAGATTACTTCTATAAAGAGAGCAAGTTTAAAAATACTGTAAATTTATATAAAAGTGACTTGAGAGTAGACTACAGGATGCACCATATGCGCGTGTATAGAAATGGGCCTGCATGGAACTCAAGTCCGAATTGGGTGTGTGCGATTACTGTTATTCTTTATTTTCTTTATACTTTGTTAGGCCATAGAGTGCTGGGTGAAAGTTTTTTAGGTTAATTTTATTCAAGCTGTGCACCAATTTTTGTTTTCCAGTAGGTGATCGGTTAAAATTGCCATTCATTTGTTTGATAGTTGATCATGTTGATGCATAAAATCGTGATTGATACTAGTTTCCTTTTTCTTTATAACTTTCAGATCTGTAACCACTATTTTTCACTAATGGACTAGGCAATTTGAATTCAATATGGCGTCCAGTGTATCATCTGATAATGATGATGACTATGATTCTGATGTCACATGTGGAAGTAGTGACACAGATGATAAGGATTCCTACGACAGTGGTAACTCCTCAAACGATGACGATACAGGCAACGATGAGGAAAGTGAGGAGGAGAGCGATGACGATGATAGAACATCAGGGTAAGCAGAATGTGAATCTTTTAAAATACCATAATAATGAGAAGCAATTGGTGAATTTTTCCAATATAGTGTGAAGGTATACAGCTGCACTGTGAAAAGTACTTTTTTATTCATGAAATTGGGGTGTTGTTGATCAATTTATGGTATTCTTCCAGTCATTTTCCAGAGCATTTTACAGCTATGCGGATCAAAATTGCTCCCAGCTCCTACGTTTCTAATTTGCTGCACAGCTTAATGGGTTCTGTATATGCTGTCTCTTTTATGATTAGTAGCCCTGCACTTGATCATGTGAAGTAACTGAATCATTTCCGATTATGGTTTATATTGATCTCATCTGCATTTATATCTAAGCTTGGAGATTTTCTTGTCTTATAGTGCATTTTGCTCATTTTTACCTTTTTTGTGTGTGTATGTCTGCTCATAATTTTGTTTGTTTATTTTTAAACAGAGAAAAGCTTGAGAATGTTATGTGGTGTGGACCAAAGAAGAACCTTCCTGTCTTGGTGTTTAGACCTGAGTGCAACTTCATCAAGGTCAAGCGACTCTATGCAACAGGAGGTGAGTGAGATGCCAATTGTTATCCTTTTTCTTCATTAAAAAGAACTGTACCTAGGGATGAGTAAGAGTTGTCAGTCACTTTGCAACAACATGCTTGTAAAGATAGGAAGTCGCTCTGTAAACTAAAATGAATAAAAGGAATAAAGACAGTTATTGTTGAATTGCTTCTCTGTTAACAGGAGAAAGGAGGTAGACTTTGTAAGATGAAGAAAGCAGTGTGATTGAATTTGCCATGTGGTAATAAATCAATGACCTGGACAATGGTATAGTGAAACCTAGGGAGACAAGAAGTTGTCTTTATAGGCAGGTGGTCTTTATGTACAGGTTCCTTTAGTACATGTTCAATGAGAAACCATTTTCAAGGAAAACAAGAAATGTGGTCTCAGTAGACAGGTGGTCACTACTCACTAAAGCAGGTTTGACTGTATCTGTAAAGCCATTTGAGACATAGTAGTTTGTTTGTTCGTGTCTCCTTAGATCAAGATAGTTATGTAAAATTCCTTAATTAAATTAAATTAGTAGTGAGCTCTCTACATAATATCAAGATTATTTAAAGCATTTTAGTGGATCTTTCAAGTAAAAAATAGATGAAAGGTTCAAGCCCTTTGTACAGTGATCAGATGATTTGAGTGTGTGTTTTATGTTGCTTTTATATACCATTCTTACAGAGTTTCATTGAAAAATAGGTATAGATAAAAAAAGACCCCATCCTTTCTACATGTATATATAGTTATCATTAAATTTTATTGAAAGAGCAAACATTTTACATGACCGTTCTTACCAGTAAAACATTTTTCTAAAATTTCATTGGCCTAGGGCCAATGGGTTAGTACTAGTGTAGAGTTTTCGTGAAAATCTGAATTTTTCTCTCCAAAATCTGATTTTTTTTTTTTTTTTTTTAGGATATTCGGTCTGCCTTTTTTAGTCAAGAGGTTGGCATCTCTGCATACACTATAAAATTCATGTAACTTTTGTCTACAATCTGTTTAAATAAGATTATAAATATTTTTATAGAAATATAAAGCTCAAGTAAATGATTGTAATTAGCTTCTGTAATCCATAACTCAAATCCTACTTGCAAAACTAGAGAACATTTCAAACAGTTTTTTGTTCTTCAAAACTCTCAGGTAATTATGCCTTAAGTAATGCAATGAAGGCTTTTTGTGTGAACATTTTAAAATTTATTTTGACATTTTAAATAAGTGAGAATGGAGATATATGATAAGTACAGTGCTGCATACACATTTCCCGTGACTACGTACATTTGTATTTGCAAAAAAAATGTACTGAAAAATAATATATCTTCTAACTGAAGTTTACTTACATAATAATTGATAAAGATAACTAGTTACACAGGTGCATATGTTTGTATGCACATAGGATTACAACCACAAGAAGTATGCTTCTTTAACAACAAAATATGTAGGCTGACATCCTTGAAGTGCCTTGTTGGTACTAAAAGGCTATGTAATCGATGACCATGTATTGACCAGCTGAGTGTATTGACATTGGAGTGTGGTTCCCTATTCATTACATCTGGCTTCTACCCTTAGACACCATTCATCTTTTGTCCTCCCACTGGGAATACAAAGATCCCATTGTTCACTTCCAGTTTCCAAACTCCTTTGTTCCATTAATCCATGGTCAAATTTCATTAAAGTTTGAAACCTCTTGAAAGCTTCATTAAAAGGGTATCATTTTGTAATTAAGTAGCGGATAAACCACAGGGGATGAAGATGCTTGTTTATATGATGTAGGGTTCTAACATGTGTACTAATACTATGGAAATTTAAAAAGGTCATAAGATTGATTTTCTATTACAAAGCTGAATATATATATATTCTTTTTCAAAAAGACTTTGATATCATTTACATTTGGGGTTTTAACAATGATCAATGCCTTGAGCCCAGATCTTTAAACTACATGTAACTTGTGAATGAAATATGTACAAACTACAATGTACATCATCTCATAACACAATAATGCAATATTATTTAAAGCATACACTGTACATATAACTTACTCTTGACAATGAACATGTATTTATTCCAAGAATCCAAATTAATATGTATTACATGTAAGTTATGCCAAGTAGAACAAAAATATAAATTTTTTAAAAGTAAGTTTTGAAATTTGAAGGAATAGGAGAGTCCTTGAGCATTTTCTCTTGCATGAAAATGATCACTCGCTCACTCAAAAGAAAAAGGGAGTTAGTATTATTTGTTATGATTTCCATTCTTCTGTTTTTCCATCAGAAAAGCACCACCTTGCCTATAAGATCGTCCGCACTGACTGCAGAGTCATCAGACAGCTTCTACACAAACACGGGTTCCATGAGGTAAGTGTTTACATGTGTTGCTATGGAAACCACAAAGTGCCCTTCCCAGGCTTCAGTCAGTGGCAGTAATCACCCTATTGTATGAATATTGGATGGGATTGGAGGTGGTAGTAATTTAATGGATAGGAATCGAAATTATATTGTGTAGGGTAATGTTAATTGGAACACTGTGCAATGAATATTTCATGGACATAGGTGCAGTCATGTACATGAGCATAGACTTGCTGTACCTGTGTATATAACATACTGTATATATACTTTTTGCTGTCTTTTTGCTGTCTTGTGTATATAACATATATATATATACTTTTTTTGTTTTACTTTTGAAAAATACTTTTTCTGCAGACGATTAGCTTTTTTTTTTTTTTTTTTACAGTATGCTGCAGTTGACATTGTTTTTTGAAAATATTTTGTTTTACTACCTGATGTTTGAAGATTGTTATGTATCTCGTATGCACTGTTTTATGCACTGTTTTATGAACTGAAGACTTCTCTATTATTAAATTGCCAAATTCCTTCAGTTGAATGGTACATGATACCAAAAGGAGTTTGCTGTGAAATTGGTATCGACTGGAATGTGTTCAGTATTTATGCACTGAATTGATTAATTGTAATAGCAGATAATTGCTTGTAGGGCAAACCCAGAATTGAATCCCGGGTTTAGATTTTTACATACCGGTACTAATACTTTATCAGTTTTATTAAAGGGAATTTGCAAATGTTAAATAAAGTACTCAGAAGGTTTGCTCACTGACACTGATATTTCATATTTACCTGCTCTACATTGTGATAATTGAATCAAGTTTGTTTAAGCACAGTTATGAACAGCTGCAGAATATGTTCTAGAATGAATAATAAGCCAAATAAAAGTTTTTTTTTAAAGCACTTTTTCCATTTGATGTAGATTATACTGTCCTATCTTTTTGTAGCTCTAATCAAAAAGTTATACAACAAATTACAAGATATAGTTTTTCAGAAGTTTTCTCTGTCAAAAAAAGAAAAAGTGAGAGAAATTTTTTTCTAGAGGTACAAAGGTACAAAATAAGAGTTAAATCAGGGACAATTGTTTCTTTACTCATTTCATTTAAAGTAACGTTATTTTGTGTTTATTGTGTCATCATGTTTATTTTTAACTTTCTATGGGCTTATTTATATGCTGTAACTTTTATCTTTTTAAGTCAATCCTAAAAGCTCTGATTTCAAATTGGTTTTGAAAGGCTCTCATGTTTAACCATTCACATACAGAATATTTGTTGACTTCATTTATGAATGAATAGACTTCGTTTATGAGACATTTTCAATCAAGTTTAATTCATGTGTCTGAGAGTTATTTGTTTATGTACATGCATACATTTCTTTCTTTTTTTCTTTCTAGGTCCATCCTAATAGCTCTGATTTCAACTTGATGTGGATTGGGTCTCATGTCAAACCATACACTCTGAGAAGCTTTACTGACTTCCAGAAAATCAACCATTTTCCAAGGTAATCTTTTTAAAATATATTTGCATACTCATAATGTACCAGATGGCTACTTAGTTTACTTGAACAAATAAGCTTTATAATAATATAAAATGAAGTAACATTCTGTAATAAAACATTACTGTAACAAAAAAATGGAACAGTAATTGTATTGGTTCAGTCTAATTCTTTGTCCAGTTAGTTTTTAATGTTACAAATTTGGAGATGATTTTGTTGTTGTCTTTCTTATCCTATTTACATTCTTTTTGTTCAGCTTGAACCCCCATTAACTTTTCTCCCCTTTCTTTTCCTCTTTCTTTAAACAGGTCCTATGAAATCACAAGAAAAGACAGATTGTACAAGAACTTTCAGCGGATGCAACATGCCAAGGTATGTACTTTCAAAGTATTTCATTAGAAAAAAGCTAATTATAGCTTCCTTTAGTCATGTGAAACATAGCTTAGTAGCATTTTTAATTAAAGGTAAATGTTCAAAAGCAAATGAAGTGAAGAAATACTTCTGCTTGATCTTTATATTGAAGTTCAGCCTCTAGTTTTCTTTGGGAGATGAAAGTAGCCATTTGTTGATGTTGCATTTAGAGTCCACCAAAAATACATTGTGAGACATTCTGCGAATCAATGATAAAATGAAAAGGAAGTGTATGCTTGTGATGAAAATGTCAATATCTTTATGTTGAAGGGAAAAGTTACCTCCTTATCATTTTTGTTTAATTTGTGATTAATTTTAAAACTTGTTACCTTTGTTGCTTTTGCAGGGTTCACGTCATTTTGATTTCTTGCCACAGACCTTCTGCTGTCCTTCAGAGTATGATGATTTAGTTGGTAGGTTTATATTATATCCTTTATTAGTCTGTGTGGAATTAATAGTTTGATGATAGTAGTAGTAGTGGTGGTTATTTTACCTGACTGCTAAGAAAGCATAAATGCTTGTTAGTAAGCAGCCAGAGGACCAACGGCTTTAGGTCCTCTCTGAGAGACCTGGTAATGAGGATTAATGCCTTACCAAAGGGCACTAGCGCATCACCTTGGTTTCGAACCCGGGTTGCCAGATTTCGAGACCACTGCTCTACCAACTGAGCTATCGCGCCTCCTCATAGTTTAGAAATATTTAAATGAAATGGAATGTTTTGAATATATATTTCATTGCTTAAACGACCTATGTCATACTTGAATGTTATGGTGCATTCCAAACCATCTGATAGTGACTTATTCTTCTACAAGTTTTGTCATCCGTTGTAAATATTACTCTCCATTTCCATTCAGTATTTCACTTTATGTCATCGTCCATTTGCCATCCATTAGATCTTTACTATTGTGAACTGGTCTGGGTCATGACACTTTGACCTTCTTTTTATCCTTTCAGCTGCACATAACAAAGAGAGGGGTACGTGGATCGTTAAACCGGTAGCTTCATCAAGAGGAAGGGGTATCTTCCTCGTTAACAGTGTAAGTTAACTATCCTAATCTCTCCATAACTCACATGAAAATGTGTGGCATATCATTCAGGCAAAGTTTCACCCACAAAATGTAATTTATAGTTCATTCTATGCAAAGTATACATTGATGGTTCATAGAGAGACTTGTTATTATCCTTTGTCTTGTGTTTTCTCCAAAAACATGTACACAGTTTTGAAAGTCCATTGTACTGCAGCTCTTATGTAGAACTATGCTCCAGCACAACATAACAAATACATGTGTATTTGATTTTGATTGTGCATGCATTGCATATTCACGGTGATGATCATCGATATTATGTTGATTGATGGATTCCTTTTCTCAATTACTCAACAGCCTCAGAATGTGCCATTAGATGCTGCTTATGTTGCTTGTCGATATCTCAACAACCCTCTTCTCATAGATGGTGAGTTATATGAACGGATTGAATCATATCGATTCTATGAAAGTAGAGGAAAAATAGATGCATTTGCGTAAAATTTATATTGAAGCATTTTAAAAGGTAATATTCATGCTGTTTTATGTGTCATCTGCCATATTTGTTTGATTTTTTGTTTGTATATGTATGAAATATGCAAGTATTTGCTTTAGTTTCTTTGTGTAGTTATGTGGCTGTAATAAATAACTGTTGTAATATTTTTCAAATAGGTTTCAAGTTTGACCTGAGGTTATATGTAGCAGTGACATCATATGATCCTCTTCGTATATACCTCTATGAAGAAGGCTTAACCAGGTAAGATATTCTTAATTAGATTTTAAAAAATCATGTTCCCCATTCATTGACTATTAAGATAATAGATTTGTTTTAAACCTACTTCATGTATTTATCTTAATATCACAATCAAGAAGTTTTTATGTGAACATAATTGACAGTGAGAGAAGATCTAAAAACTGGAGACCCTCTATTTATTGATTTATGCCAGCACCTTTATCAAGGACCTTTCCGCAATGAGATGCATGCAATATACTCACAATTGCATTAAAAGTTGTCAAGAAATACATCACACATTTTTTTATAGTTTATAATATGGTAAAGTCTGATAACAGGTGATGGTGTGATGTACTTAGCTCTCTCAGAGGAAAAGTATCCATAAACTATACCCTGATATGAATTATTCACCTGGAGCATGCCGTTGTCATCCAAATTGTTGTTTGTAGGTTCGCTACCGTGCAATACCAACAGAACAACAAGACGATAAAGAACACCTGCATGCACCTGACTAACTACAGCTTGAACAAGAAGAGCAGCGACTATGTCAAGTGAGTATATTGAGGGGTCAGTGACACAAAGATGTAACTCCATTTTGAGAAAAAGTGGTTTATGTTTCACTGAGCACTTGGGCCTTAAGGATTTAAGTTTATGTTTCACTAGCCATTGACTTCAATGGGGTGTTGGGTGGAGTTGGGTCTTTGTATTTCCTGGAAAGCCCACATTTTTCTGAACATTTTGATATCAAATACTCATTTTGGCAAAATATGGAGTTACGTCTTTGTTTCACTGAACCCTCGATATGTTGTGGTGCTTATGCTAGTGTAATGGGAAGTAGCAGCAGCTGTAAGAGTATTGGTGGTTGTTGTTGTGGTGATATTGATAATGCATAATTTGATAATCGGATGATGATTTCCATTTATGGTATCCATGGTGATATTGATCTCGATGATGTTGGGTACATTATATCTGAAGTAATGGATGTGGTGGTAGTGTAGTAGTAGGAGTATCAGTCACTGTCATTATCTTTGTGAAGTAAGAATTAATATGATTATTATTATTGTTGAAACTGCTTAGTTTTACTAGAATAATTGAATGTGTTGGTAGTAAAATGAACTGTAAGTAACTAAAATCAACAAAGTTGGAAGAAATACTACATTTTGTATCATTAATGTTCCAGGTTTGATGATGAAAACATGGATAACTATAGTGATAGTCATTATGATGATAATAAGAATGATTTTTCATATTGATATTTATGAGACTTGAACTAATTAATTTGCCAACAGTAGAGTAGTAGCTGCAATAGCAATGATAGTAATTTAGGGATGAATATAAATATTAGATAATAAGTATTCAGGTATAGTAATGATATAATCAGTGAATTCATTTGTTATAATAATATAATAATAATAATAGTAATAATAACAAAAAATAACATACGGTATGTTTGGTATATTTTAGGTGTGATGATGGAGACATTGAAGACTATGGAAACAAGTGGAGTTTAGGGGCCATGCTGCGGTACCTCAAGAAACAAGGCAAAGATGCAAAACGTAAGTATGCTGTGTTTTGTGTAACGTTAGTAAAATATTGGGAGCTAAATGCTAGAATAGAGTATAAGTACTCTAATCAAAATTTGTAGATAAACACACTTTTTGAAATCTGTTACCAATCCAGTCTTTTCTTCATGTGTCCTGGTTTAATATTGTATGGTTTTTAACATTTATTTTGAATATACCGTAAATCTCCGTGTATAAGGCGCACCTCTATTTTGGGGAAGAAAACAAAAATTAACATCGAGGTGCAGTTGAAGGCGCCGATTTGTGCTTGTGAACTTGTCACAAATACTAGTAACAATGTGGTTTTTAGAAGAATTTGTAAGATCATTAATGTTAATTAAAAACAGTAGAGTACCTAGGATAGAACCTTGTGGTACGCCATGTAAAAGAAGAAAAATTTGAGGAACTATTATTATATACTACATATTGAGATCTTTTAGAAAGATTACTTTCAAATCAAGATGACAGACAAGTTTGAGTGTTGTTGTAGTTTCTGAGTGGTGAGTCAACACACAGATTACTTTTTTTTGTACCTGTGTATAAGACGCACCCCCGACTTTCAATTTTTTTCGGCGGCAAAAAAGTGCGCCTTATACACATAGATTTACAGTATTTGTTGTCTTCTTCTCAGTACTACTTTCAAGGATAGAAGAAGCCGTCAACAAAACAATCATCTGTGCAGAGCTCCCTGTTGCTACAGCCTGTAAGATGTTCTTGCCCTACAGGGGAAATTGTTTCGGTGAGAATTCTCCTTTGATGATATTCACATTTTTATTTAACTGTAGTGAGGTGTAGAAATATATTTTGTTAACATTGTGTGGATAATGTCTATTGGAAAGTAAAAAATGTTTTTTAAATATTTTTTATTTAATAAAAAGGAAGTTTATAACTGTTTTATTTTTTCCTTTTCATTTTATAACTATATATATGTGAAGACATTTTTTCTAAAGTTAGAAGCATCTCCATCAATAATGGCATTTCTGTTTGAAAATTTTCAAAGATCTGCTTTAACATATTTGTTGTCAGTGATTAAGCTATAATATTTTTGCAGTGCAGTGCTAAATGAATGAAAAGATGAGAAATAGATTTGGTTCCAGGGGAAGTATAAAATAATTGTAACAGAGGTCATTTATCTACAACAACAAAAATCATTTTACTCATGTTTTTGGAAATATATGAATAAAGTATGATATTTCTCTCTATCCACAGAGCTGTATGGTTTTGATATCTTAGTAGATGCCAATCTGAAGCCCTGGGTCTTAGAAGTCAATCTTTCGCCATCATTAGCTTGGTAAGCTATTAATTTTTTCTACTATACATTGAATCCTGATGACTGGATCCTTCTACAAGCAAATCCTGGTATAAATATCTGATTATAGAAAATGTTGGTATGAGAACATTGTTAAATGTTAATAACTTGAGATTGAAAGATATGCCTGTATGCAGTATTAAGTTATCAAACCACCTTTAAAGTAGCAGTTAATCCAGGTTGTGGGAAATAATTTCAAGTAGGTTTTAATCAGAGTAATATATATTAAGTGTTTTATATTCAATGTTCACTAAACAATGTGATATTTGATTCCTTGTAGAGTTCTTTTTAACTCTCAGTTTTTGTTAACTTTGATCCTTTTTTCCATTTCCTTACCCTTTTCAGTGAAGCACCAATAGACATGAAGATCAAATCAAACATGTGTGGTGACCTGTTTAGTTTAACTGGTAAGTGTGACGGCCTTTTTTTAAAAGTTGATCATAGCATTATATAAGCTGGAACTTCATAGAGCATTGTGTTTTCATAGTACTCTATAAAGATGTTTTACATTGTATCTCTTCTCCAAAAGGAGGGTTTTGCAAGTTAAAAGGTACAATTGTCACATTTTTTGTGTATCTCCTTTCAACCTATACTAGAGGCAGTGCCTATTACCTTGGAAACCTATTTCTCTGCATCTTTCTTTGCCTATGTCTTACGTATGTGAAGAGAGACTCTATATGAATTTCACTTGTCTGCCCTTGCTAAATGTTACACTTGTTACTTCAAGTCTTCTTGCATAATCAAATGGATTTGAATATTTTTAGGTGAAAATGAATCATTATATTAAAAGTTCCTGTTATTAAACTGTGTATCTTCACAGGCTTTATTATACAAGATCCTGTTATGAGACGTATGCAGCAGAGTAGAAGAAATCAGGATCTAGCCGCCTCCAGCACTCTCAGGCAACAGGTACGATAGCTCAACTAGAGAGGGGTGTAGGATGAGAAGGGGGGTAGGGGAGGATAGGGGTAGGGGAGGTTGGGGTTGGGCAAGGGCGGGGGCAGGAGAAATACGGCATCTCAACCGTCATTACACTATCCCAAACATCACTTTCCAGTACCTTCCATCTTACAAAATATCATTACATATCAAATCTCAATTGTTAGATATCACTCCCATCTATTCAATTTCTTATCTGTATGTCTCTCCTTATTTTCTTGAATGCACATGTTTGCCTAAATTTAGACTAACTTGATTTTCAAATGTAGATAATATTGATTATTAACCGTATCAGACATCTGAGCAGGGCAATTTTTAAATGTTATTGCCCTCAAGGTTTGATGGATAAGTCAACAAAATTACAATAAGTTAGTCCGCTCAGAAAAGTCAATGGGATTTTGTGTGTAATTTGGCGGGCAATATAGGTTATACAGTAAACCAATGCGCAAATATTTTAGCCCGCTCAGATCAGTCAATGGGATTTGTGTGTAATTTGGCGGGCAATATAGGTTATACAGTAAGTCAATGGACAAATATTTTAGCCCACTCTGAAAAGTCAATGGCAAAATGCGTGTTATGAGCAATAATATAGTGCCAGTTGTAATTTACATCGCGCATCAGCTATTGTAATTTACATCGCGCATCGTGTATAAGAAAATGTGCACTTTGCGCGAACTCTATTGTGACGAAACAATCACACCCTAAGCAAACTGTTTGCAGTGTATCGAAAATCTGTCAAGCACTGGATGAACAGTGCTGGTTTGACAATGTTTTTGCAATTTCTAATGCTAGGAAACCCTGTTTAGCCTACATAATTTAAGAGTATAAGATAGTAAGAGTTTCTTGTTTGCTCTAGATGTCAGATGTGGTTAATAATAGTAATATTGACTGCCTAATTCAGGGCAATACGACTTGTCATATATCACCCTCACCTTCGGTTCGGGCGATATATGTCGTATTGCCCAGAAGGCAGTCAATATTACTTAATTTATAAATTGTTGATTTTCTCTCAGATTTTAAAATTTGTTTATTGTATCTAATGTTCTAAAATCACTAATGATTTAATTTAATTAATGATTGTAATAATTTCATGATTTTTCTCTCCTTACTAAATGACTGTTTTGAATTGATATTAATTCCTATTGTTTGTTTTCATGCAGTTAATTAATTAAATAATTAAAGCAGTAATTCTTTTGGAACCAGCATGTTGAAATTATATTTTAAGTTTATCAATGTTTTTGTCAGAAAAGTCGTGTCTGTAGCAATTAAGTAGATATTCTGTATTTTTGATCTGCACACAAAATAATTCCTATCTTTAAATTTTTAACTCTACCTGAACACAACTTAACCCTCTTGATACTTTTCTTTGTATAGGGTTTTCATCAAAATGTTGATTAGTGGAATTGCAGGAACTTTACCTTCTCAACAACTATGTATGTTGATGAATGCCACATAATACTAGATATTGGAAGGTGAATAAAAAGTTAGAGAAATCAATTTTTCAAAAAAATCATTGATTGTGATGATTTTTTTTGGATAGTGAAAGAATTTTGAAAAGCAAGGTTGACAGGTTGACAAAGAACATTTCATTTTTTATCTTTGTTCTGTTTCTTAAAGTATTAACCATTAATTCTCTTACATTCATTTCTTCATTTCACTCCTGTTTGCATGATCCATTCATCATTGAATTTGCTGTGTACACACTCATATCCTATACGTAGAAGGAGCGCATTGGCTCTGCCTTCTCGGTGAGTTTTGTTGAAGAGAAGAATTTTACCATTCAGATAATTTGCATTCTTTTTTTTTCATTGAATTTTATTTGTCTAGCTCTTTTATCCCAATTTAGAACCTCACATCTAACATCTTCCTTTACTTTTCTTACTTTCTCTTTTATTACTTTTCTCTTTCCTTGCCTTCTTCACTTTACTTCACTCTCTTTCTTTCTTTCTTGTTTAATATAGAATTAAACAAATTAATAACAGTAGTGAGAGTTAGTTTTAACAAAATTACAGCACTGTTAAGCCAAGTTTGTAGGGCTGCAAAATTGTTCAATATATATACACCTGTACAAGGATATTCCTTAATCTGTATATAGACTGATTTACCTTTCAATCTTTAGTAGAACTACTAGAAAAATAATCCTGACCACTCCCTTTAACCAATCATTTTGCCCTCCAATGCTGTGCATTTTCTTACTGCCATTTGGCAATTATCTGTTCAGTATGAGAAGGACTTTCTTGATTAATACCCCTTAGCACAGGATTAATGCCCTTCTTCCTCTCAACACCTCTCAATATCTTATGTATACCATTCTAAAGTTTCAAGCACTATTGGTCACATTGATAACACTTTTATCTTACATCCCAAAGCGTCAACGACCCAACTCTGCTGGAATGATGGGTAATAAGCTCTCTAGACCAAAGTCCGCCGCAGCATCGGCAGGTCCCAAAGACAGCTCCGGACTGACTCTAGAGGAGCGTAAGATAGTCCTAGAGAGCAAGGAGGAATACGCCAGGAGAGGGGGCTGGATGAGGACATTCCCTTCACCAAATTCCATGGAGAAATATGGGTGAGTCATTCTAAATATAGTCAAACCTGCTTTAGTGACCACCTGTCTACAAAGACCACATTTTTTGTTTCCCTTGAAATGGTTTCTCATTAAAACATGTACTAAAGGAACCTGCCCCCAGACAGGACAAGGCAAAAACTTTGTAAAGCAGCCTGAACCTGCCTACCCCTTGGGTGGTCGCTATAGACAGGTTTGACTGTAGTAGTTCCAAATAGAAGTTTTCATCCAGATCATGCATCATGTGGTTAGATCCAGAATGGCATTAGCTTTGGTAATGTAATACAAGATAATACTGGTTTTGCTCTCAGTAGCGATATACAGTTAAACCTGGATATTGAGGCCACCCACAGGAAACAGAGAAGCTAACCACTGTACTTCTATAACATACAACTTGATCTTGAGGGAGACAAAGTACATGGCCACTATAGAAAGGTGGCCTTTATGGAGAGGTGACCACTGAGATATTTTTGACTGTTCATCGATTGTTGTGGTCTAGTTGGTAGAGTGAATCACTGGTCTGCATGACAAATTTTAGAAAATACAAACAAAATATAAATTTTCAATGTGTCAAAAAGCATTGATCTCCCAAAATCTGTTTCCTTTTGGATGCTGCAAGATTATTTCACTCGATTGGGACAAAGGATGAACAAACAAACATACTTCAAGAACACTTGAGAGTATGTTAAAGCCTATGTGAGTTTATTTTTAGGGTATTGCATACTGTCATATATATATGATATGTAGAGCTTTGATGTGAATATTGATATGTAGCCCATAATAAAAGTATTTGATAATTGATAACTGTTCAATTGGAAATTGAAAATAATGCTATGCAAATAATATTTATTTTTTTTTTTTGGGGGGGGGGGTTAAGAAACACACTTCCATGTTTGATACAGATGGATGCAGTTTCTGACATGATAATGAACAGGACTAAATGCTTTGTATGTTCCTCTTCTTTGTATTCAATTTTTCCTCGCAGTTCGTTAATGGAAAGCAGGAATTCTATGAACCAGTTACTACATTCCAGACTCTTCTCTGACAAGTAAGTTTCATTAACACCATGCTTCCATGTTGGTAGTGGCCCATATTACCCATTACATATTTAGAGGTATTGGTTAACATCAGGTCTATGCCATGATTATTATTATTTCATCTGATTTAGATTCAGTGTGCTATTATATCTATTTGTTTGCATTTATATGTTAATTATATTTCCATCGGGATAGAAGTGTATAAAACAGATTGCTTCTTTACAACTATTTTTGCTGTTATATGCACATCCTAATATATTAAATGCTGGTTCAAATGTCCTGCAATTTGCATATTATTTATCCACTTGCGTTCAAGCACCTGTCTTTTTATTGTGCTGATGCTGAATTGTCTTTGCTTTCCTGTATATCAGGTAAATAGAGAATAAGGCTTGGTGTGATAATTATTATAGATCTTAGCCAATATTTATTCAATCAAGTTGCAAATGTTCTTAAAACTTGCTTCTTCTGCCCCAAATATGTTTGTGTGTTTCCTCTTTATCAATCGCTAATCTTGGGTCATGGGTTCGAGTGTTGTAGGAAGGATTGTGCTGTACAATCTTCACATAAGCATTGGACCTAGTGTTAGGGGTTAAATTTAACAACTAATGTCAGAGCAGAATATGAGATATTGTGTTGAATTCCTGTACAAACTTTATTTTATTCCCAATATATAAAGTCTGACCTGGATTTTAGAATGGTGTGTTCACATTAACATATAAAACTAAGACTAGATTTTGACCCAGTACTTATGGTCCAGTGTGAACATTGCCCCCTATGATTGACCTTAGTGGTATCTTCTATTGCGTTCTAGGCATGGTCAAAGGACCTATATTCCACACTCTGCAAGGTAATGCTTTCATATTTCACTTGCATGAAGCAAGCATTGATTTGGAGCATGATTTTTTACATTTTGGGCAGAGTTACTTTTTGGTTTTCATTTTAGAAAGGTGATTTTGCTTTTCCTGTTTTTGATATTTTCTATTTCTCCCAAAATGGTAATGTTTATAAGATTTTGCATGAAAATTATCTTGAATTGATAAAATGATTTCCCTTCCATGTTGATTTCATGTCATTCTCATGCTTGGGCCTATATCTATATCTTATTGTATTTCAAGACGCATTACTACCAAAAAAAAAACGGTAATTAAGTCAGATTTAGATATATTTAGATTTGTATTATGTGGTAATCATCAACATATCTATCTGTATATGTAAGTTAATTTGGTCATTACCAATTACCGGTAGTATTTACTTATGTCGATGTGATATGCAATGCATATTAGAATATAAGTGAACTGCAATAATGCTATTATCTGTTGCCATCTGTATATATATATATATACATGAAGTTCATACCTTTATGTAATGAGCAGTGAGCACATTGAGAACAACCTTTTTAATTATATCTCCTTCAAAGTATGTATTTGATGTATGAAAAATTAAATTATTTTGTTTTTTGATATATGCTTGTATTGCTATTGCAAGAGTTCTACTGCAGTGAAAATTGATTAATAGCTTCTGTTTACTTTAATTGCTATGCAGTTTTTAGCTTATTTTGGTTTGGTATTTGCAGGAATGCTATGGTGTGACTGGTTATAAAGAGTTGAATCAATTACTAGTCCAAGTTTGCATTCTCTATCTCTTAGATACATAGTTTTGGTTGATATCAATTGTAAAAGAGTTGCAATTAATCATAACTCTTTTTAAGTCGGGGCCCTGGTATGCTACAGTCTATAAATTATAATATTAAAGAAAAAGTCCATCCTGATAGTTGGTTTGGTTAAAAACAAGAAGACAAAATGTATATATATATATTCTATGATATGAGTGATTATTATAGTGCTCACTAGTTACATTAGCAAAATAGGCATCTATTAGTAGATTCAATCAAGCATTCACATTGTTGCACCATGGCATTTTCACTTTGAGATTTGAATTCATATTAACACCCTTATCATATTTGTTGTTGTTGATAACACATGTTTGCAGTGTTTGCTTTGCACTCCCTTCCCAACCTTCTCTCTCTGTCTCTCTCTCTCTCTCTCTCTCTCTCTCTATATATATATATATGTCGACCTATCTTTTCATCCTTCCATCCTAGATTCCTCTTCCATATCCTACCCTCATGTTCCTCCATGGTAAATTGCCATTTGGTCTACAACCAGGATTGATTCCCAGTTCGTCTAATCTGATTTTGCAGCATTTTCAACAAATTCCACTTATCGTCCATGAGGTTGGAAATTTACCCTCACACATATATATATATATAAATATATATATATATATATATATATATATATATATATATATATAGATACTTTTCCCTCCGACTACATGAAATTTAAGACAAAATTGGAGTAGGAAACATAAGGTGAGACAAATAATAGATTAAACATGAATTTTACCCTGACATACTTGTATTAGACGAGCTGGCTAGAATTAATATAGACCAAATGGCAATGGCCCTCTGCTCTTCCACTCTATATATATTCTTCCCCTATGTACCTCTACCGTGTGTTCATTTACGCAGTGTGGATTCTAGTAGCACATCTCCCAGATCTAAATCAGCTCACTCGTCCCTGGCTTCGTCCCGAGCCAGGCAGTGCACGTAAGTTCCGATGTCTTAGCTTCGCATCCGCACCCAGAGCTAATGTGCAACTGAAATGCAGCCTGCGAATCTTGTCAGGCATATCTGTGTATATGAGCAGTATTGCTACCATTTTATCCTGGCTATAACAATTTCAGTTAGTATTGTGTTTTTTCGGTTTACAGGATCTTCAAAAAGATCACCTCAAAAATAGTTAACAGAATATTTCATAGCATTGATATCCCCAGTTCTTCTTCATTATTATGCTATTATATCAGGGGCTATTTCAATTTGCTCACATGAAAAGAGAAAGGATTGTTTTATTTCCTATTCCTCTAATAAAATTGGGTGTTTGTTATTAAGTCAAAATAATTTTTGTGTATTTTGGGTTACATATTCTACATATTATGGTACATACATACAAAGCATTTCAGTTACATATTAACTCCTTGTGCGATGTGAGTTTAGTCCTGTTATCCTTGTTCCTTGTTTAGATGAAATATTATCCATGTATTTACCTCTAATCTCTTTCAAATATTAATCATTCAAAGTAATCAATATCAGTTTTGGTCAAAGAGGTATTAACTTTGGTTTGAGCTTATGCTTTCAGTTTTAATCCCCCAAATATGCTTGTTTAATACATCTATATAAAATTAATCCTTTTATTAGTTTCATAATTTGAGAAATATATTAAAGGGACATGTATTCTGCATGTTAAGTTTGGTATACTAACTGCATGATCAGTGTATGTATAAAAGGTCAAGTATTTTAGACTTTACTTGCATTACATTTTATCATTATGATCATCCCCCCCCCAACCCCTCCCCCAATTACAAGTTGTATTCTTCAAAAATCTTCACAGAAATCATAATAATATACCGGTAAATGTCCACTATTCACCTTTTCTCTATAGAAAAGAGTTTCACCCTTTGTTGTATATTAGGTATCAGTACTACATCTTTTTACATCATTCTCCCATATCTTTCACATTTATTGTTTGTTTCTCTGCACGTCTTATATTTGCTAGAAGTAGCACTTAGTTTTGGTCTCTCATGAGTCTGTTATACAGTTCTTGATGTGATTTTAAAATATTTAAGCATGTTTTTTTGTGATGATACATGTATATAATAATTTCTTTCTTTCCATCTATAGAAAAATACTTTTCATATGTATGCATATGAAAAAGAGAATTTGTAAAACTATTATTTAACAGTAAATAATAATTCCTGTCTAATACATGTGTGTTATGTTATAAACTGGGGCAATTAAACATTAAATTGTCTGATTGTCACAATAATATAATGGACTGTTCATTTTTTTATACACATATTGCACCAGTTTCAACAGGAATATCTTTTGTTTGAGCAAAAATGTTTTGACATTCAATTAATAGTAATTTTGAAGTGTGATTTATGATATTGCACTTGTTAAAACCAAGTACACTTTTTTTAAAACTAGTCATATCACCATTTAAAAAAATGAAATACCACATACCGATGCAAACTATCTTCACGTGGAAATAGGCTTCATAGCCTCCAGCTATTCACATCTATATGGTTTTGTTGTCTTGCTCTATTTCAATTTTTCAATAGAGAAAAAAAATTAGTATGGTCTGTAAATCCAGTGCAGGTTCCTCATGTCAGAACAATCCTAATGATGTTTATGTTTCCATGACAACAGGAAGATGTCCCATGGGATGATGCAGGAACTCCAGGAGAGGGAGGTTGAGGAGCACTTAGCCCAGTTACTCAGGAAGCTCAGTACCAAAGACAACTCTGGAGAAAGGCGCAGCCTACGCACCAAGGTCCGCAACAAGTTTCCTGCCACTAAGAGGATAGGTAGGTCCATGCTGGTGGGAGATGAATGTGTGTCTTGTTTGTCCATTCCCTACTTACATCTGCTATGAGGGATTGAGGAGGATACAGGGATGCTACATTCGGGGAGTTTTACGTTGGCTAAATACTCCTTGGCTACACAAAAGACTTCTTACTACCAACTATGCTACGAAGGTTATGAATTGCAAGTCACTGATGATATTTTGTATGGATTTTTTTAAAGTCTGTTTCTTATTTCATTGTCCAACTTGTTACTAAATTGTTTATAATCTATCATGAAGATTTTTTAAGCCTGTTTGAGTTTTAAGAGGAAAGATTGTCCCATGTAGTTATAAACAAATGAATGAGTCAATGCTATTATATGCTTTATGTATTTATGGTCCTATCTTCTTCTTCTTCACTCTCAGCAGCACCAAACCCCAGGAATGCAGTACCGAGCAAAGCTGAGGTGAAGTCAGAACCAGCGCCATCTAGGGCACCTCTTGCTCAGGGCAAACTGGATGCTCGCCCCCAAACGGGACAAAGCAAAAACTCCGCAAAGCAGCCTGAACCTGCTGCTGCCCAACAAACTACCACAACAAACACTGCTGCAGCTTCTCAACAGCTACAAAAACGACCATCATCATCAAAACAGAACTCTGGTGTATCACAGTCTAATATCAACGGCACAAAGGGTGTAGATAAAGGGGGTGGTGGTGGTGGTGAACCGACAAGTACAACAGGTTCATCTGGTAACTGGGTGCATGGGAAACCCCCAGCGGGACCCAGTCAGGGGTCAGGAGGGGCCAAGATAGGAGGGTCAGAGAGCAATGCTGGAGCCAGGATGGTGCTGGAGATACAGAAACCCAAGGGACCTACCAAAGAGGAGATACGAGAGTTGGTCAATGTTCCTGACATCTTGGACAGAGGTGGTGACCTAAGGTGAGATTTCTTTCTTCTTCTCTTGTGTTGTCCAATTGCATGACTATCATAGTTGTCTTTTGCTCAAAATTGACATATTTTCTTGATGTTCATGATATTTATTGTACTGAGTTCCATTGAGGACCATGGTATGGTTCCTAGTACTGTATATACTGTATATTATGCTTTGTAAGCTTCATGCCTATCAGAATATACAACTACACATTTCCCCTGTTATAAGATTAGAGAAGGAAAAACCCAGATAATGATAGTGTCTCCATTTTGTCTTTGTCCGGGAAATTAATGTCATCATTTCCAGTTGTTCATTCGGTCTGGTGACCAGTATACACATTGCCCGTGTTTTGTTGTCTGATGGTGTACCAGCAGTGAGACATGATATTTGATAATCCTTTATCATATGTATTAATAATGATCCTGATTTGTCTTGAATCTACAGCAAACTGCAAGCCCGAGATGCCTTTGCAACATACCTGCTGAGAGTTCAACAGAGACTACTCGCTGAGACAAGCAAACCCCCAGAGAAACTAGATGAGATAGACCAACATGATGAACAAATGGTGAGATATTTTAGATGTATCACATTGGTATAAATCATGTGTTTTTCCCTGACCAGTCAATCCAAGCACACTGTATTGATATTGGAGTCTTATTAACGATTTGATGGAGTTTCTTAATACCATCTTGCCAAAAAGATTATCTCTTGTGAATTCTGCAGACCATTTTCCTTTTGCTTCTCTGTTGCTTTATCTTCATCTTATCCTGTCTGCATCCTTTCCTTTCTGTCAGTATACTTTCTCACTTTGCCATGTCTATTGAATTATTTCTCCCCTCCTTCTCACTATGAATATGACGGACAAAGAAAGCGGACAAAATATACAGTTCCTCATTCTACCCTCAACAATTGCTATGGTAGAAAAAGGAACATCCCTTCACTGCTGTATGTAAGAATGTGTAGAACAGGTGAATATGCTTTTGACACCTGTTCTACAGATGTTTACATAATAGCAGTGAAGGGATGTTCCTTGGTCTACCATAGCAATGGTTGAGGGTAGAATGAGGAACTGTGTATTTTGTCCGCTTTCTTTGTCCGTCATATTCATAGTGTCTATTCCTCCCCTCAAACATTATCGCTCTTCACTGACTTCTTCCTTCATATCTGTGTCAATCAACTCATTCCCTGTGTTCAAGATATACATTTCCCACCTAACCTGATCTGTGGATGTTTGTTATACAGGATCTGGTTCTGCGTTTCCTGAAGAGGGCAGCAAGCAATCTTCAGCAGCAGTTCAAAGTGATTGTTCCGAGTCGGAAGCTTCCCATCCACGACAGAAGGAGAATCCTTGCCAAGCAACTAGTTGACTTTGTCCAGATATATAGCAAGGTGGGTATAATATATAACTCTCATAATCCAAACAATGATTAGCCCAACATATATCAGGCTAGAGTCTATGAAAATGTGTTTTGTACCATAATCAAGTTAGATGCCTCCTGCTGGGGTCACAGCCCGCCATGCATCTTTTTTCATGTGCGTGTCCTCGCCTGTGGTCAGGTGGTAGGCCAACTTCTGCGATTCGCACATATTTCTAATGATCCCTCATGGGTGCCTTGCACACTCCTCTAAAATTACTTCCCAGTTACGTGCAAGAACTCTTTGGTGAAATTACAACCGCCCCCCTCCCCGTACAACTGCTTTGCGATGTGTTAAAGCCTGTCTGCACTAGTTTGGCCAGGAGGGATTAGACCTTTCTGCATGGTCACTGACAGGCGGTTAACTCATCAAATCAGCTCTCAATTAACATAAGAAAAAGGAGATCATGGGGGACCCAACAGGTACCGCTAAGGCATTGTTTGCTATATAGAGGGCTCAAGTAGTGCAATCCCACTTTAACGCTCCATATAAGTGTGTACACATCACAAGGCACTGTGATAAGAAACTCTGTGAAGGTTCTAATGCAGTTAGCAAAGTAATCAAATTGCCCTTTGTTATTTTATCTATGACACTTGTAGGAGACAGAGGAGATGGAGAACATGAAACCCAAGAAGGTGGTCAAACCTCACAATCATCATCAGTTTGAAGAGGATGAGGAGAGCATTGAAGACAACAGGTTCACTCATTTTGTTGGAGTCGCCAAGTGAGTACTAACAAACTGAATATTTGATACAAATACACTTTCTGTTTAATACAGACTAACCATATACCACTCTAGCAGTAACATTTGTATGAATATCAACCAATAGAAGATTTCATAACCAAATTTAGTGATTATTATATAAATGGATTTCATAGTAGTAAATATAAATGGTATTGCCTTTGACTGGATGTAGTAGTTATTTCAAAGCAGCTGAGGACTTGAGAGGTATTTGCACATTCATTTTATTTGACTTACCTGACTTTAAAATAAAAAAAATGCCTGATATTAGTTAGTAAAAGGCAGTGTGTGGCAATAGTTGGTAAGTCGAATGTTAATTGAAGTATCCTGAATTTTATGATCCAATCAGAAAAATTTGTCAGTTTCTAGCCAGAAGTGAGTTAATATGTCAGCTCTAAAACATCCTTTCAACTGGGCACAATTCATGATCTAAGGCATTGAAGCATTTAATGATGATTCTGTCTGCTTTGTTTTGAAAGTCAAACATTGGAGTGTGTTTTCTATGTTTTTTTTTTTTTTTATAAATCATTTAACATGTTTTGTTTTTTAAACACTGACCCATATCCTGTCATTTGGAGCAAAGTGCATTTCCAAATGAATCAGCAGCAGGTTGCTCTAAAGCCCAATTGATTTGACATGGATAACTCTTGTCTATCACAAAATGAATATGGCCTCGTTCAGGGCCCTGTTTCACAAAGTCTTTTTTCTATGACAAATGACAAAAATCAGTGACAAGTCTGTTGATAACCAATCAGAAGCAAGGATTTCAATAGGTTATAAACAAAACTGTCAATTGTCACTGATGACAAGTTTTGTGAAACACCCGCCAGATGTATGACTGACACTATTGTATATATTCCATTGATCCTAGTGAGAACGAGCTGGAGGAGCTCCTCACCACATACACCAAACAGAACAAATCAGCCAGCATCTTCCTAGGGACCAGTACAAACAACCCCAAATCGGTCTCGGAGATGATGGCTCAACCTACCTCGGTCAACAGCACCAACCAGCAACATCATCAACACCACCACCACAACCATCACCACCATAAGCAACAGTTGCAGCAACATCAGCACAAACATGTGACCAATGGGGGACCGGCACTGCTGCATCGGCGATCAAGTTCCACGGAGAACCTGCATTCCAGCAATAAGGGTGGCGGAGCTGCTGGAGATATAGCCAAAGATATAAGTAAGTTCTACTTTTATAATTTATGCTTCACATTTCTGTCTCTTATTAAAGTTTAAACATATATGAGATAAATGAGTACACTTTAATAGGCCCCATGTTTTTCTCTTCCCAATTTTTTGTTGTTGCTTTTGTCTTACTTCAAAATTGCCTAATTTGAATGTGGTAATTTTAAAAGCAATTAATCATTCATGTCTGTAATGACACTGGAATACTTGTCTTTTCTGAACTTAGTTTGGTGGCTATGGTGAAATGCTTGGTGTCAGGTGCTTTGCTATTATTAGTGCATGCATACTTCAGGGCAAATGTATTGACATGTTTCAACTGTACTTTTCTTTGTCTTATTTTTTCAAATGTTGTATGAATGATATTAAAAACTTAATAATTCCAGTCATCAGATTAAATTCTGCATGTTTCTCAGCAAATTAAAAGTCTTAGCATATTACTAGTATCCAAGTGTTTTACAAGGATATGCACTTTCATTTGAAGAAATATTGCATACGATATATATTCTCATACTTGTAATGCACATACAAAATGAAAACAGAATTACGTGTTCTTTGTAAGTGAAATGGAAATTCAAATAAATATATATGCAGTCAAGCAGTAAACTGGAAATTTTTTCAAGATTCTCATATGAACAGCAGTGGGAAGGTTACAATGAATCATACACTTAGGCTAGTGGTTCTAAGTCTATAGTTGCATGCATGTATTCTAGATTCCAACTCATTGGCAGCAAAGCATGGTGTCCACTCGACCAAAGCACTCCAGCACTACTATGCCGCAGCAGGTCAGCTTGCCATTTTTAGTCTGTACCCCATCTTGCACTCAGTTTGCTTGTCATGCTTATAAAGGTTTCATGTCGTGCATACCATATTGTATTGGATTCAGGGTGCTACTAAATCATGTTCATCGTAAATTTACAAAATCACAGGGGATGCATTGAAGATTGTTCATGTTCTGCTAATTTCTCATACCTCTTCAAAGATACTGGCATCTATTGTAGTATAGTCAAACCTGCTTTAGTGACCACCTGTATAGAAAGACCACATTTTGCGTATCCCTTGAATATTGTTTTTATGTTGAAACCTGTACATAAAGACCAGATTTGTGTCCCTTGATCAGTTTTTACATACAAGTTTCAATATATAAATTATGTTACATCATAGTTTTCTAGACTGAAATGAATGTATCTGACAAGCTCAGAACAATGAAGTACTCTACTTGATCATAGCTGAGCTGTTTTTATAGAACACACCAACATGTGTAATCCAATGTCGGCATCATCACCCTCATGTGGAATGAGAATAATACATAAAGAGTTACATCAAAGTAAATTTGTCTGTGTTTGCATCCCCCACGATCAATTTATTAAAACTGGCTGGATCTCTTTTTCATTTCAATATTTGATCAAACAGCAATATAGTTGAACCGAAATCGAAAGAAAATATTACTTTGCTTGCCCAAGTACGCAAGTGACATTCTAACAGCTGGTTATGTAAAAATTGATTACATTTTTAAAGACAGCTTAGATTTGGTTTCATTTCACCCAGGATCTCAATCATTTCGATCCAATTTCTTCATCGAATGAAATAGGTTATACTAGTTCTAATGGGCTCTTTTCATTCCACTATTCTTTGGTGTTACAGATGATGGTTAAGTGTAGTCAGTGTGATTCATAGCTTTAAGAAATAGGATAATTATAATTTCCTTGATGTTTCGCCCCCATTTCCCCCCATTTTCAGTGTAATTACGGTTTCGTAATAACTTTCATACATACTGCGCACATATTAGACAAACATTTTGCATTAACTTAGGTCTGTTAACCAAATTTGTTTTCAGTCTCAAGACAGTCTCTTCTATTTTACCATAAACTTTTGTGTGAGATATAAGATGGTATAATGAAAGTAAGACCTTTTCCTGCCCACAGAATAAGGAAAGTGACTTCAGGTACAATGAAGAAATTGATAGTAAACAGAGTAAATGGACCCTAGTTTTTATATACCATAATAATTCATAGCAATTCATAAGTGTATGTCTGATGCTTCTCATTTGGGATTGCTAAACAGGGTTTATTCCTGTGAGTGCTTCATTGTGTTTTCTTGATGTTTGCTCTGTCATACTGCTGTGTTTATAAAGCATATACTTTGTTTGTATATTCACATACATTCACTTACCTATTTAGTGATGTACATGTATTTATATATATAGTTTTCCCTTCAAATATGATGGTCCAACCCTGCTGTGATCATATATAGTGCATATCTAGATGTTCATATAACGTTGCTTGCATTTTTATTAAAATCTGTGTGTCTGTCTCTGTCTCTCCTCCCTCCCTCCCTCCCTCCCTCCTATGTATGCTCTATCATTATCTATATACAGAAATATTTGCATTGCACTTTACATAACAAATATTTCAGTTATCTAACTGCAAATAATTTAAATAACATTTTTGTACATTAATTACAAATTAATTTTATTATTTAAGATACAACTTCATGTTGATATTGATAATGTATATCACATGCATGTGAGTTCTGTGAGTGTTTTGTTGTTGATGGTGGTTTTGGATTAGCAATAATTGCCTTTTTTTATCTGTTTTGTGATCCTCCATTCACGAATCTGTGTATTACCCTCACAAGAACATTTGTCGAACGAGCATATGAGTGCAATGTTCAGATGCAGGTATGTGTCTTTCCTAGGAATTGTTTTGCAAATGCTGTTACGCTGATGAAATGCGTGGAAATAGTTGCACACGTCTATTACTACACATAGTCATTGCTCTATATGCAGTAATTATTTGATTTATTTTTCACATTTTAAGTCATCATAAGCCTATCCGATTGTGTATTGTTCCTTCTTATGATAGCATTAATAATGTAGCTATCTCTTGATTAGATGAATGGCGAACAGGTTATTAAAAATTATTCTCCTGAGCAGGAATTTAAGCTGTCCACATTTCTATTTATGAAAAAAAATTACAATGTAATTGTGATGAAGGTCACAATGCTTTGTAAATTGTTATGTACTGCAATTAGCTTATTTGGATTGCTCTGGCCGAGGGGGTATTAAGAATCCTGGCAGTTAGACAGTTATATTTATGGTCAAGGCAAGCATGTGATATTGAGAACTAGAGGAGAAAGAAAAATGGTTGATTTAGGTTTCGGAAACCTAAAATAAATATAAACCATGAAAAATATAAAGAGAAATGCATTCTTCATCTGAAAGAAGGCTTAGATAGGATAGTGATTTATATTTCTTTATTGCCAAACAGCTGGTTGAGATTGAATCTATGTACTTGCTTTGTCTGCTTTCTCAAATCCCTGGTTAACCATAATCACCATTCTCCATAAATCAGTTTGAAGAATGCTGGAGATGGAGAGAGGTAGGAAAGGAAGGATGCAAAAGAGACAGAAAGGGGCGGGTATTTCTTGAATACTAATTGCATACAAACCAATTTTATTGTATGGAAGCTAATCAGTCTTTCTTGTACTCTTATTTCTGTGTTTGGAGTACAATTTTCAGTCAGTTATGTCATACAAATACAATGTCAACAGTCATGTAGGCTTTCTTTCAGTGGTAGTGCGAAGCCTGCCCTCTGTAGGTTTGCCCTTTATTTCTATTGGTAGTAGTACAATTTTCATTAGAATTCCAATTTGTCATGAGCCATTAATTTCTTATTTAGTACATGTTTTCAAAATTAGGTCTAAAGTCTGCCCTGTGTGTTCTGTATGTGGACATACTGTATTTTCCATTCTTCAACAGAAACTAGCCTAAATAGTATCCCACAGACATTAATAGGTCACACTGCCCACACCTTGAAGGTTAGAAGTGATGGTTTTATTGCAAAAAGAAGCATAGTTGAAAATATTTTAATTCCCACTGAGCCAAGTTTAAAATATCTGAAGAAGGAAGAAGAAAAGAGGGAAATGAAGAAAGAGAGCTTATGTCTATTTCCAAGTGTGAAGAACATTGGCCTTCAGACATAAGAAACGGGTAAACAACATTCCTAATGAGTTCCTACTAACATCTGCCCCCTCTGTACATTTTTCTAAATGTCAAAGTGAATTTATAGCTTATAAATGTCCATGCTTGAGATATGGTATGATATGGTATGGGTAGGGAGAATAATGAATTGTGGACATATGCTAGGACAGCGGTGAAATGAAATAAAGCCCTTTGTATTATAAAGGAGAATATGACTTGGTATGTGGAGGTTGTGCCATAGACATTCCTGAAAGTTCATGGATACTACTTCATACACTTCCTTTGCAGTTAAATATAGTGAGAAGGAGACAGTCTTGAGAAGTGTTCTGCATTTTTATATACTATTATAAGCTCAAGAGGAAGCCCAAAGAAAGTCTGTTGAGTGGAAGCAAAACAAAAGGAGAGTGTTTCATGTATGTTATCTCAAGATATATATGTCCAAATTGACAAGTGAAGATTCCCTGCAATATCTTTTGTGATCTTGACTCCCTTGACAAGTTAAAAAAAATGACTTTCTTAAAGGTAAAGACCAGTTATGGTCATGCGCTTGCATTGTGAAAGAAACGTTGTGGAGTCGATCAGAAAAGGTTGATCATCTAGCATCTAGCATCTGCAAGGTTCTGGAATCATCAAAATGATAAGAAATTTGGCCCATTCTTCGTAAAGTTACAAGCACTATACACAGAAAGATGTATATGGGACTACCCTATATCTCTCACAGACCATGAGAGAAACAAATTTACCAAATATATGAATTAGTAGGCGGTTTCCCGGCAAATTTTTTATCATCATGTATTAGTCAAAACATATTCTTTCACATGATTGGTAATGAGAGCTTCCATTTCATTTTTTGAAATTGGGGCGTTTCCAATACTGGTCTTTACCTTTAATATGGTAAAGATTTTCTCAAACTTTATATTTATCTGTGTTTATTCTACTTCCATTATGACCAAGAAATGTGTGATATGAAGGTTCAATTCTCCTTTTATTTTGTTTTGTTTGAAATCCCTTTCTTAGGATTTGATTCAATAAACTTTTGATATAAACGTGTAACTTTTTCAGAAGAAATGCTTATCAGATGCATTGCTCCACAAAGTTCAGTGGCTTTCTGTAGTTCTTAGTTTATGAAGTGTCTGACTACTTTAATTTCAGATTGTTTGCAGATGAGTCCAGTGCATTTTAAGTTCTTTTTCTTAGAAACTAGAAATCATTCCAAACGATCAGTGCTACTGTCCTTTTTTACTGTCTTAAAGTACATTTAGTAATCTAGTTTGAAGGTGATTTGTTTGTAAGAAGACATCCCGAGTATGAAAATCAACTTGGTAATATGGTGGCCACCTGTTCAGCGACTTGTGCCCGTGTGTTCATGGTGAGATTTGAACTTGTAAACCTTGCTTTAAACCTCAAGGCAGTTGATAAAACAATCAATCCACATCTCCCGAGTCAAAGCAAAGAACTGTGAACAGAATCATGAAATTGGGATCAAATTTGTGTAGTTTCAGAATCATCAGTTGTGAGCTCGGGAGTTCAATCACTTGGGTGTCTTGTATCTTTTATGGCCCAAGTAGGAAAGGTTTTGTAGCAAAGTAAAGTGTTTCCCTGAAAAAATATTGAATTGCATGAAGAGAAATTGGATTACTACTTGTGAAAACATGATTGTGTGGTGGCTGTTGAAATATCAAACTCTATTTGACAAAGTCTACAGCCCATTTGCTAAAGATTAACAACAAAAAATGATTGATATTAAATTGCAGAAATGTAGTCATATTACATTGAGGTTGGTTTGTTTCTAAGGATACGCATTGAGATTATAAGTATCAAAATCTTCACTTGCTTCTAAAATGCTGACCATCTTCTGAAACCTATATTTTAGATGATAGACAGATTTATTCATATTGCAAAACCTTTGTAACTTTTCATAAGTAGTGTGAATGTTCTGTGAAATTAAAAAAAAGACATTGGTTCACAATAGTGGTGACTTTGAAACTGATGCATTAATATGTTCTAAGGCAAATGAAGAATTTTAGTCTTCCTTTTCTTAGCAGATTAAAATTAAATAGCCAAAAAAAAACATTCAAAATATAACCTATTTATGTTCTCCCCAGACTAAAAGAAAGCTAGGAAATTGATGTAGAAGCTGACATTACAATTATAACCCTATTATCCAGTCAACATCCGCCATATAGACGTATGTTGTTCTCCCACCCACATGTTTCCAACTACAACCTTCTGTATTCATGGCTAAGTGATTCAATAGCAATTGAAACTAATTAGTGGCATAGAAACGGGCCCACCTGCTCTGAGCGGTAAAAGTATCGCTTAGGATGGGAATCAATGAATAGTTGTTGAAAGTTATTTGTGGAAGGCAGGATATATACCACATACTGTTTGCTTTGATCCATGAACCTTTTCCAAATCCACCTACATCTGTATTGCTAAGTGTTTATTGAAATGAACATGTTTGTTTCTCTTAACAATCCATTTTATTGATACCTGTGGGTAGAATGATGGTGGGTAATGACTCTTTGCTTGTCACATAATTTGTTACAGTAAACAGGTAGTAAACAATTGACTCATATTTTATTCAAGAGCGCTGCAAAAACAATAACAAAATGGTGCCAAATCATGATCATTTAGTTTTTCCCATAGGTGAAGAATGTAAAAGCAGATGTGAAAGAAAACAATGTTTGTTGAAGCACTTTTTGGATTTGCTTAGTGGTTATTGTATTTTAAGGTTCACAAAAATCTTTTAGACCTTTCCACAGTCTGACCCCCCCCCCCTCCCATCTCTCTCTTTCTCTCTCTCCCCTTCCTTTTTTATTTCATGAAATATAAAAATGTGTCCAGTTATACCAAAAATTTAAAGTTTTCAGCTTGCAAAGGAAAGATACAGAACACTCATTTGTGGATACCAAATCTGAAATAATAGTATGACATATTCAGAGGAAGAGCAAGTGAACTGGTAGTTAGACTAAGTTTTATTAACGATTAGATCCTATTTTAGATCGTGTATCGATTATGAGTTTTCCTTGCCATATTTATGGACCTGCCAATGTCCACTAGACACATTCCACCCACGTATTCACCTTCCCAAGCCATAAATAGTCTGTCATCATTTCATTAATTGCTCCAAAAATGAAATGAAGATTATTATGCTGCGACCGAAACCACTGATAAACATTTGAGATTCGCCAGCAGGTTTCCAAGGCTGATGGTCCATTCATAAAAAGCCGCTTGTCCGTCCGTGAAGCTATACAGTCTTCCAAGCATTCACCACCAGTCAATTGAACCAAGCAGGCGTATCCACGGTCTCCCCCGCCCTTCTACTCTAGATAGTAATAGAGAGAGATTCTCACTGATGGAATTTCATAGTCCTCAAAAAAAGAAAATGATTATGTCATGTATGACTCATCACTCAAATCTGTCACTCTTTTATGTACCTGTATGATATCATACGACTTTACCATATTAATCTTTGTCATATATGTCACTTGCAGGCTACTACAATGAAATATATATTGGTTAGCAATTGAGATTTAAACTTCATGCATGCTGTTCATTAAAGTTTGCAAGATTTTGTCATTGAGAAATATGTCAACCTTGAAATAAAGGCATTGTCATTTTGCGGAATGTGTATCTAGCAATAGTGATCAAATTAAAGGCTGGGAATGATTTATGCTGCTTTTTGGAAAATTTGTAATATTCATATAATATTGTCAGAAAGTTTTGTCAAGACCAAGAACGAAGAGGGGGTGAACAAGGGTAAAATCTATGTATTTTGCTTAAGATCCTTTTCCATATTGCTGTTTACTGACAAGTTCCAATCAAGAAAAGGCTTTGCACAAGACTGTAGACATCATTTCCCTGAACAAGGCAATGATGGCAGTGAGAACAACTCATTATCAGATACCCACTCATGCACGATACAACTTCATATCCAGCATTGAGTCATCCCATCATTACATCTGTCTTTCTCTTCTCATTAAATCGCTTCATCTCACAGGTGCCAGCAATACTGCTACCACCGGCGACGGACACTACCATCACCACCACCACCAGCCCCACCAACACCCCATGACGTCATCCCCATCAACCCTATCACTCCCCAAACGCCCCCACTCATCCACGCCCAACGCTGCCGAGGCTCGCCACGCATCATCGGCAGACGGTGCCGTGCAGGTCTACAGCGCCAGGTTTAATCGGCAGCGACCGTACTCTGCTAAAGCTGGATTTGATTCAGGTATTCATTTCATTTTCATGTCCTTTCATATTCATACTCAATTAAAAGACACAAAACTGACAAAATCAAATGTGAGCTCACTTTAAATGGATTAGGGACTGTGGACATGATATTAAAATTAGGTACTTGATTAAATGGTATGGCTTATGGTCACAATAAAGATAATGTAATGAAAACAAAATACAATTATTTATGTCAGTAGTAAGAGAAAACAAGGGATGAAGTATAATTGATATTTTGATCCAGGCTCTGCCTATTAGCTGCCAGCTACACAGAGGTATCACTTGTTAAAATCGGGGATTAAAGACCGAAATTTCAATCCACATATAGAATATAGATTAATTTGATAAAGTGGCTCTAACAAAGCATAAAGGTTGTATTTTCATTTATTAAATAAATAGTTCTGCTGATTACACTACCGTATTATATTTTGTTTTGAAAAAATATATGTTGAAGCTGTTCGACATAAAATCAAATTATCCAGTTAAAAATAATCAAGTGACCTAGATGATCTTAACCTCAAAATCTAATTCGAGGCATTTGTGACAAGCAACCTTGTATAGCTGATGACTACTTGTGAATTAGACCCATACCATGCCCCCCTCTGAGCAGCATGTAATGCATGAGCACCCCACCCTAACTTTGACATTTCAGGGGATGGTCGATCGTCTGGGAGACCTAACTCTGCTGTCGTCTACAGGGATTCATCTGGAGGACAAATAGGTATTTTATACTTCTTTCTGGTCTAGTTCTGTCCCTTTCTCTTTTTGCATCTCTTTATCTGTCTCTGTGTCTGTCTCACTCTGTCTCTGTGTGTCTCTCTGTCCTCTCTCTCTCTTTCTCTCTCTCTCTCTCTCACTATCAACATCACTCACTCTGTTTCTGTCTCTTTGTCTCTCTGTCCTCTGTCCTCTTTGTTACTTTGACCCTTTCAATATCTCTCTCTCTCCTTGTCATAATATGATTTGATTATGTTGTCTTCAATTAATTAAACTGGATGCTACCTTTTTATTGAATGAACTAAAAGTAATGTTTTTTGCAAGCTTACTTCTGAAAAGAATATTTTGTACCCTTATTTTGAAGGAACTAGGGTTATGTTAAATGACAAGCCTCAAATTTGACGAGTGGTAATTGTTAATTTATCTATTATCCATTATGAATGGCAAGTTTTGTATACACATATACATATAATCAGCTTGCAAGTCGAAGAAAGTGAAGAAAGAGTGAGAGAGTGGTGAATGTGACATTGAGGTAAACTGGTTTGTAATACTAGTGACAAATTTGTGAAGTACTTCCTAAGTGAGTGATTCCATTATAGTGTTTGTTAAAAATATTATATATGTGCTGTATCCGAATTAAAATTTAGTTTATATTTCAATGTAATTTAAGTTTTGAAAACATGAAGACATTTTATAAAGTTGTGCATAATGTATTTCTAAGAAATATACTTTGCAAAAAACTACCCAATCAATGTTGCGTACATAACTATCAGGAATCACTGCAATTATTATGTGACTAGCAGGACCCGCGGAAATCCGCGGGATCCTAGAGGGGGGCGGGGGGTGTAAATAGATATATAGAGACTGTCTAAATTAAAACCACCAAGAACTTTATTTGCCATTCAGGCCATGGAAATATACATGTTAAGCGTCCCCGCCCGCTTCCTTTTTGGGGGCCGCCTCCTATTTTTTTTTTTGAAATTTTTTGAAAAGTTTTTTTTTTTTTTTTTTTGAAAGAAAAAAAAACAGCGTCCCCGCCTGCTTCCTTTTTGGGGGCCGCCTACTATTTTTTTTTATTTATTTATTTTTTTTTTGAAAGAAAAAAAACATGAAAAGCACTGCTAAAATGTATTTCTGATTTTAAAAAAGAAAAAAAAAAATTGTCGGCCGCCATCTTGAAAAATAGCCCGAATGTCAGGAAAAATGTACGGAGCGGCCATTTTGAAAGAAAATAAAAAGAAAAAAAAAGGGCCTCCTCCTTCCCATTTTTCAAAAAAACAGGAAGCTAAACATGTTTTTTTTTTTAATTTGGCCTTATATAAAAATAAAAAAAACGATCCAACTGTACCGGTAGTTATTCTTTAAGCCACTGGAACTGCGTAGAGTTCCGTAGTGTGACGTACCGACTACGCAGAAATTAGGCTGCGTATTAATGGGGAAATAGTCCCTGCGTAGGTTATGCGTAGGCTGGCGAAAAAAATTAAACAGGTTGAATTGTTTTCGTTCATCTTGCGTACCCCTTTCCGTCCCTCAGCATATAGTAACGTAGGCCAGCGTAGTTGTTACGCAACACTACGCAACTCTACGTGTTGACCCCACGCCAATTAGTGACCCGCAAGTGTCACAAATAAAGTATTAATAATATGCTCATCTGACCCTATACGCCTAAAACCCCCAAGCTTTCGGGGGTTTATGGCCCCTTGAAACCCGTGGACCCCACGCCTATATTATATATACACTCAACTCAGGACCCGCGGAAATCCGCGGGATTCTAGAGGGGGTGCGCAGGCAAAAAATTAAGTTTTTCATTTCGGGGGCTCCATTTCAAATTTTAGGGAAATTTTCGGGGGCTCTTTTTTCTGGGGCTACTTTTTCATTAATTCATATAAGGATAGGCCTACACTTTGTTGAGATTTGTTTAGTAAGTAGGCTATTAGGTTTCAGGCTTCCTACTTCATAATTGCCTAGGCCTATTTAAAAAAAAAAAACTTTTTCTAGTTCAATAACTAAGTTTTCATGCATTGATTTGATGCAAGAACTGTAACATAATAGACCCTAGATTGTGATTATTTCTGACCATGAATTTCGATAATCATTTTTCAAAGTAAAATTTTCACAGGAAAATCAAACAGTCTTTTAAAAACGTAGACATTAGAGTCTAGTAATACTTTTACTAATTCTAAGCTCAGGTTTCGTAAATCTATTCACGAAACTATATTGAAATCGCGGCAATAATGATGCAAACCAACAGATAACAATTTCAAAGTGTCAAATCTCTTCGACTCGAATTCAACTCACACACTTTCAACTGCAACTCAGCTCATCTCACACACACTACACAGTGGCAATGCAATGCACTGTCAGTTACGGTGATTTTGTCTGATTTTCTTTACTTTGAAGAAAAGATTATCAAAATTACGTAAACATGGCGAGAACATCACAAAATAGGCTTTAATTTCATACCTCTATTTATGGAAACTTTATAATATTGCAGCAATCGTGAATTCGTGATGGAAATTGATTGCAGGACGTTTCGCGATGTTTAGTGGTTCATGGTCTAGATTCAGCTTCTACCGAAACAAAATCGACCGCCAAAAACTCGAGCCCTACGCTCCGTCTCGATCTCGCAACTGCGAAAATGTACGTGTTTTGGCGTACTTGCGTGCGACATGGTAAGCCAGGTAAGGTATGGAATATGGTTCGAGTTTTTTTACGACCGATTTTTGTGTATACAATTTTATACGGATAGTCATCGGTCGTGTGTCAATGTTGAATATCCATGAGGTATCTCTGTCGTCACGCATATCCTGCATTATGCATGTCGCGTCTGTTTTCGCCCTGGACGTCGACACGGAGGAGGACCTCGGGCGGAGTATAGCCAATTCGCTAGAGTAGACTCTCCCGCGGACGATGGCACCGGGCACGGGTACCCCGAGGGCAGGGTTCAGGAGGAGATAGCCGCACCAACTTGGGTCGGCGATCTCATTAAAAAACAATAGAATACAAAGGCCGACGGAGACGTCATGTCCCCCCCGCTGAGCCTTAGCGTATTACTATTATAGATGTATTATCCAATTTGTATCTTTTAATGCAGACATTGACTGTGGAAGTATGTATGAATGTATTCCCTATCTACATGTACCCATACACAATTTCTTGTTTTGAATGTGTGCATGCAACGGTGATAGGCAAACAGAAATTTGTAGGTGTAGTTGCAGCAAAAAGCTCTGCTTATTTTTCATCCAAATAAGCGATGAAAGAATGATATTGCTCTCTATGTGTTGGAATGAATGGGTTTTACACAGTATGGGTGTCACCAGATTTTTTCATGCTTGAAATGAAATTGCACAAACGTTTCATAAATCTTACTTTCACCCATAGAACTGACATTTCTCCCCCCAAAATACAAACAAAACTTTGCTATATGTTGTAAGTTTTTGTTGTCTCTGGTTCACTGGTTCACTGCTTCTCAGTTTAACAGTAATTCTCCTATTTCTTATTAGCAAAGTTTTCACTAAATCACTCAAAAATGTAAATGAATATGTGATGAAATTTGAAACATTGCGCTTGTATTATAGAGGCAATGGAGTGATGTTAATTGAGCTGCACATCAAATCAAAACAATAACTTGGTGATGAGTTACCAATTTTGCATTAGCAATTTGCATATTTCAGACGTAACTCTGGGAAAAATGAATCCTGGGTATTGAATTTTTTACTGTATATCTTCTCTCATGTTTTGATATATAAACTATAAAACTTTTAAATTTAGTTCTACATTATACTTTCATCACAGAGACTTATATTTTGCCAACTCTCTGTCACATTTTATGACAATGATCATTATCACTCTCAGATCGACAGCTGTATTTTCTGTCGCATCTTCACCAATGTCACTTTGATCACTCTCATCGCTTTACCGCTATCATAACAGTGCTCTCATTTCCACCTAAATGTCTCTGTTTTGGTCATCATTCTCATGTTAGTCCAAATGTCCTTGCAGCTCAGCCTAAGCCTCCCGACAGAATACTAGAGAAGAAGAATAAAAAATCACCTAATTTTGTGAGACAGTTCTAATATATCCTAACACCCATCAAGCCAGTAGTAATTCTAATTTGATCAATACCTTTAGCAGATGTGCCAGGGCCATTTCTTGCTAGCTTGTCTGTGGTATGTCCTCAGAAGTGCAACTTGGGGGTGAGACAAATTATGATGGAAATGATCTATGCGAGCGGAAATGAATTGCTGACTAATTTTTGTGTTTCTTCATATTGATTGAGGTGCTATGAAGATTTTTTTTTTTAAACTGAAATTGGGTTTTGGACAGTGATCTTAAAAGGGGCGTTGTGGCGTGCGCCTGTAATCCAGCCAACTATGGAAGTTACAAACTCATCCAGCCGAGGACGCAGGTTCGAACAGTCACGTCTTTCGGATGGTGAAGTTAAAGGTCGGTCCCCAGACGTAAATAATCAAAGCTGATTGATACACGTCTGTAAAAATCCAATTACACACACCCCTTCCTATTATAAAAAGGTTGGAAAGAATAATAAAGAGGAGATAATGTGAAAAAAAGGTGACGTGACCCTCTTCCATTCTCACCTCCTCACCCGATGTCCCTGTTCTCTTGAACTTCATCCATCTAGTAAGACTGCTCCCCCCCCTTACCCCCACCCGACATCAGTGCCCCTGTAATAGCTGTAGCCACACCACGTCAAGAGTTGTAGATGATGTATACATGTACTCTGAAATTTATGTTATTATGGTATTGTTACAAAGGGAAATGAAAGATGCAGCAAGATGAATTATTAGAGCAAGATGTGTTCCAAATCTTTGGTATAGATATTGAAAATCATAGTATAGATATATTGACTACTTTGAGAGGCATCGTTACATCCCGTATGACCCGATCCGCTTGCACAATGAAACTTTTTACACGTAAACCAATAGGGATCTCACTCTCAGCAAAATTTATTTATGTGGCCCGTTACCCGGGGCAATGGGCATC